CAGCATGTGAAATGAAAAATTTATGAGGTCATAAAATCATCATTACAGTGTGATAAATATTCCATATAAAAAGAATCTTCTATACACATAATAAAGAATAAGCAATCAAATCTTTATATGCATATTGACATAAATGTATTTTATTTGCTTCAGTATACATGTATAATTTAATAATTCTACAAATTCAGTCAGGGGGATCCAACTTTTTCCCTAAGCGGGGGACACGAATTCTCTGAATTAGCTTGTTATCTAAATGTTTTATAAAGGATACATTGGACTTGGAATATACATGTATAGTATCCCAAATCGTAATGGAATAGATTTTTATTTTCATTAATATAACAATTAAGTATAAAGTAAAAAAAATTTTTTAACTTGATTGTTTTTTGTAGTTAAAACAACTGTTTAATAGAGTTTTAATCCCCAATTGTACATGTATTCCCTTCCCCACTCCATACAGGAAAGGCTCTCATTCTTTTCTGTGTTCTCATTTAGTATTCAAAGTATTATATCTCATTAGTCAAAAGTCCATTAAAAATGATTTAGTTTGTGCTTTAAATTCAGATTTGTGTGTTTTTTTGTCCTTTAGTGATCTATTCCCTGACAAAAACAATTTGTCCATCTCTTTAAGAAATTCATGTGCATTACGGATGTCATTCTCTGCAATTCGGTCTTAAAAGCAATTAATTGATTTTCGTCTGCTGTTAATTTTAAGACTGGGATTTTTTTGTCTGCTATAAGCCACTTCTTTTAGGTGTGAAGTCCTTAACACGGCATTGTTCAGGTGAGATTTATGTCTTTTTTGCATGGCTGATACCTGGCTTATATGTACCTGGCATTGTCCGTATTTTGGCAAAATAAAACCTTTTTTACCCTCATAGTATGTACTAGAAGATGGTAAACTGGCTGCTTCCTTGGGCTAAGTATGTTTAGTGTTTATGACTTTAATTCATTAAATTACAGAGATGCAAATAGGAACAGATATTTGAATAACTCAGCTTTGAAGCTTCTGGACACTTGGATATATACTTGGTTATACATGAACTGCACAAGTTACATTTAAAATAATTTATGCTTCTTTATAGTTTTTCATGACAAGATATGAGATACTCTAACAATATTATCGTACTGATAGTTGTTAAAGCAATTTGTCTCGATATCAGCTTTTTTATATACCCAGAAACACTTTGCAGTTTTTAAAGCACTAAACTGTTGAAGGTTCTAAAGTAATAACATTTTTATGCAATAACAGGAAAATAAAGTTTTTGTGAATGAAAAGGTGAATTTTTAGTATATTACAGTAAAACTTGTCTATTCTGGATGTTGTGTATTCTGAAGTCTTGCCTAACATGATGCAAACTTCAAGTATCTTTCGGTACTTTATAATTTTTTTGAAATGTTGTCTATTTGGAACCAATGCTGGTTGCATGGATTAGACAAGTGTACTTTGAAAGGAAACATCTTTCAAAGAAAAATGAGTTGATGTCTTCAAGGACAAGGACTTTCTAATCAGATTTTAATCTGACTGGCTTTTATTGCCAGGAGAAAAGTAATACTGTTAATAATACTGTTCTTTTAATCAGTAGAGCAATGGTATAAAGGTTAAAGGTTTAAGGTATAAATCCTATTGACTTAAAATGTTCATTTTCTAACTTTAATTTGAATTGCTAAAAAAAAAACAAGCACACACCCCCAAAAAAACTACATACTGTGAAATCACTTTTTTGGAAGGGGGAGGGGGGGTTAATTTTCATTGATTTTGTGGTAAAGAAGAGTCTGACCAACAAATTCATATGTCCCAAAGAAATATATGAAATTTTATATTTAAACAATAAAATGTCAATGCTTTCTTTGTTTGTTATTACTGGAATTAACGGAAGCAGCTGTTGCAGAAAAAATACATAAGTATACATGCGTAAGCGGGTTATGTAAATTTTTTCTGCAATAGCTGCGACCATTAATTCCAGTAATAACAAACAAAGAAAGACATTTTATTGTTTATATTTATATCTCTTTAAATAATCATTTAACGTAGGGTTAAAAAGATTAATTATTGTATTAATGATGCGAATGTCTTTATTCGTTTCATTGATGGAACAGCCACTGATCAAGAAATCTGAACAGGCAACATCCCTAATGTAGTTCATGCAGTGATTAATGCAATGGGTTTTCTTAAGAAATAAAGGAAAAAATATTCAGTGGATGTAAATATATAATGATACAAGTCAATTCTTCATTCACAAAATCAAATCCATTTGAAATATTATTTTTTCCTCAAACCACAAAATTTTGACTCCATGAAATAAATGATTTACCTGAAATTGTTTCTATTCAATTATTAATAAGACTTGAAATATTGATTTTAATTTATTATTGCTGTGCCCTGTCAGAATTTATCTAAAATTGACACAATCTATAGATATGATTTATTTAAAGAACCACACAGCTAGGTATGGAAACATAGTGACATTTAAACTCAAAATGTTTTCTTAGCACAAATTAGTACCAAAATCCAGACCTGGGAGAAATTTTTAAAGGTAATGCTTATACAAGTAATACATTCATAATAGGTTATTGTGTATCAGACCATTGAGCCCTCTAAGACCAATTATTGAATTATACATGTTTAACGCTGCGAGTAAATGGCACTGTTCTAATTCATTTTTAAACGCAGATGCAGTGTAACGGAGATTGGGGTGCGATGACTTTATAGTCAGAATGTGGACAAGTTTTTTCTGGTCTTACAAAAGTACACTGAAGAAAAATTGAAATACAATAGTGCACAGAGGCCCTTTAATGTTGTGCACAAGTGCTATGAACTATTGTGTGATTAAGTTGCGATCCACAGTGATATATTTAGACAAAACAGGGCCATTTAAACGTGTTTGGCTTTATGTATTAATAAATTGTTGTATTTCGTTTGGATGTTTTGGCTGTCTCCTAGTGCAACTATGCAGTCAGGGGACGATCTAGAACTCCTAGTGTGATTTTACGCTACTCCATGTGATGGTTTGCTTTCCTTTGGGTCAGTATTTGTTATATTGTGTCTAGATGTTACACTTTAACCATAATTGTCGGTATCCTAGCTATCTGAGACGTTTGTTCTTGTCACTTTTTTTTTGGTTTTCCAGTGGTTAATTAAGTTATGAATAGTATTAATTTAATGATATAATACATGTATCACTTTACCTTAATATTGCAATATTTAAAACAATTTGCTTCTCAATTACAATATTTGTTATTTTTATACCAAAATAATCAAAATATTGAATATTTACAACACCAGTATTTGTAATTTTTAACTATTTGATTAACAACTTTTAAAAGTGATTGGTAACATAATGTAAAGAGTACCAGTGCATTCAGTGAAAATTTTCCAGATCAATGTAGACCTGCTAATTTTTGTATGAAGTAGTTGGGGATGGGGGTGTGGTGGGGGGGGTGCAAGGATTAGAAAGGGGGATTCAATCTTTATTGATTGAGTTTAATTCACTGCTGTTTTGATCTGACATACCTGCAGATATTCATGACAGCCTATTAAAATTCACTTTTAAAACCTGTCTTGAAAAGAAAAGATATTGACGTTAATTATATGCATTCGTTTGCACTTAATTTATTTGTTGTAACTTTAAAATAAAAATGTGCAGCAATTTTCGTACCAGGTAGACCTTATTTTCTTAACATTATTACTAAATGTGTATTGTTTGTCTCTTCTATAGGATATAATACAATATTTGAAATGAATTCTGGAACATTTTAATATATGTATTAAATTTAAATAACTGAAGATGCATTGAGAGAAATTTCTGATATGGGAGAAAGATTGAATTTTATGATTCATGTATTTATAATTTAATAATCTTTTAATCATATGTCATAATATCACTGAAATTTAAAGAATCCGTCACAGATTCTTCATTCTCTAGTGAGAGTGTTATGTCTTACTGTATACAGGGTTATTTTCGCCCGTGTTATTTTCGCCCTTTCAAGATTGAAAACAATTTTGCCCCGTTTTAAATACACCCACTTATAGTTTTGTTTAAGAAATGATACTGTAATCTTTGAATTCGGCCCATTTTAAATTCGCCCAATAGAGGGTAGGGCGAAAGGGGCGAAAATAAAACTGGGGCAAAAATTTCCCTGTATAGAGTATTTTACATTGTCTGGAGTCTCTTTCCAGCAACTCCTCCTAGTCCACTGAAAGCAACTATTTCCTTCAATAAGACTTTCACTTTATACATAGTAACTGTTACATAGGTTATTTTTACCTATTTCATATTTTGAACAGTCACGTGGAGAGTTTCCCACAGCCAAAATAAAATGAAATCTGCCATTTTACTCACATGGGTGAGAGGGGGCTGGGGTTTCAGTTTGTTAGCTCAGTTCTAAAAGGAATTCTAGTAATTTTATTAGACCATATACCATTTTAGTCTTTTTTAGTTGACCCAGTTAAGCAAACTGTTTAACTATTAATTTCTGAATTACCAAAAAATCTCTCGAGTTCCATTCTAGATATGTGCGGGGCTGTATCCAGACCTTCAGCCCTAATACAGGATGTTGGCTGGAATTTTACTGCCTTAGCTATCATACTGATACTAAATCAGACTATCTCTTTGAAGTCTAAATGCAGAGAACTTCAAATTTCCAATTATCTTTAAAAAAAGAGCTAAAGTCTTCTTTGAAGTTCTGTATCTTTTCTTGGCATGATTTAAGATGGCTTTTTTTTTCAAATTTGTTGTTATGGTAATGAGTGTGTTTAAATTAAAATAGAGTCCAAGATGAAGGTAATCCTTTAGACAATGTTGTGGGCTCTAGGCTAGGATAGTACATGGAGACTTACTGCACTCAACATTGATAAATCAAGGTCGTATTCTGGGGGGTTGGGGGAGGTTGGTGGGGTGTTGTGATTTGACAAGATAAGAGGAAAAATTTTTGATTGATATGGGAGGAAAAGATATATGATGTATATATATATATTGATTGTCATCGTTTTCTTTCAGGTTCTGCTGATGAAGAAGTGTTAATTTTTCAACACCACAGATCAAACTGAGTTGATAATTGGATCTTTTGCAGTTGTGATAATTGAGTCACTCACTACGTAAAGCAGTAAATCATCAATGCAAGGGATCAGTTTTACGAAAATGTCTGGGAGTTTAATAAATATCTTGGATTCTATGTCGAGGGTATAGAATTATGAAAGACATCAGTGAAATGCCCAATGGCGATGGGGGATTTGTACAAGATGGTGGAGAGGAAGACGAAAGAGCCAAAGAACGCAGATTAACTCCGTACGAACGATTGTCTAATGATTTATCTAATGATCAAAAATGTCTGAAGGAAATCACTCTCGGAAAGAGGATTGGATTTTATCGGATTCGAGGAGAACTCGGAAGTGGAAATTTTTCTCAAGTCAAAATGGGCATTCATGCACTAACAAAAGGTAGTCATTACTTGTTCTTCAATGATCATTAATTGGTCTGGTTATTGATTATGCTGTGTCATGCAGTGTATTAATGGGGTATGTACCAAGGTCAGGTGACTTGGTGTCCATTCAGTAGAAACTACCCAATACGGACTATGACTTTTATTAATCCAATATCTTTACGTTTGGTTACTGATGTGACAAATATGCTTTGTTCTATCAAAGCAATGTTATTGCCAATGAATATAGCCAGAAGGACCTATGTTGAAAATTGGATTTTTGACCAATATTACATTAACTGTAATGATCATTACTGGTCTTCATACTTATATTTTATTAATTATTTATAAATACTGTATGGGATTTTTTAGATGCAGGGAAGGGTAGAAGGAGTAATTTCTATTCAATCTTCAATTTGGTGAATGGTACATATCACCTGCATTCAGAAAGCAAGCAACTCCTAGCTAGCTCGTTTATATGTTAATTTATACAAGTATATTTATTTCTGGAATTGTATCAGCTATTTAAATAGATTGATAAAACATTACACTTTTAATAGCCAAATTTTAGTTGCCTTCATTTCTGCATTTCTGACTCTAGCATGATAAAAATTTTAATTATTGATACATTAGAAAACTACATAAAAATGAGAAAGTACTGATTGCAGTGCATATCATATGACAAAACATTGCAACCAGCCAACCATCCATGCAAAATTGGAAAATTCAACATAAATTTGATTCCTTGAAGATTGATTTAATTTTCCAGTGAATGTATTATATTCTAGTCAACAAGTGAATTTTACAGGTGTTACAGGAAAGAACAACTGTTAAATATTACTTGTAAGGGTTGTTTCTGACTGTGGACAGGCATGATTGACAAATTAAGGTGTTAGGTTTTGTCCAGAACCTACAATTTAGACACATTGTCGCAAACCATGGCCAAAATGTATGATCCTCTGCCACTTTGAGGTGGGAGCTATACGCAGACTCCAAACGGTAGCTTGAAACGATGACAATGACCGATTACAATGAACTAATTTTCTCATCTGTGCAAAACCTTCACTCTTAGTGGTGTTATACTCAAAATTTAGTTGCAGCATAATGCCAAATTGATTTATTGTTTTTATGCCGGGCCACCATGAATATGGTTTGGGCATAGTGTTTGTCTTGTCTGTCTTTATTGCCTTGTCCCTCTGTCCTTCCTTCACACTTTGAGTTTCAAGATAAGTTTCAATGAAACTATTTGAGGTATTTTGCAAAAACATACTGATGAGAGCAATTCAGCTGCATCAACATTTTTGAATTTGATCTTTCCTTTGACCTTGATTTCACTTTCCTAGACACATACTAAAGTGTATAGCTCAATCAATTTCAAATAAACTTAGATGTTTTTATATTAATGCTTCTGGATATTGATCAGACTGAGCTTTTCAACTGCTTCAATATTTTTTTTTTACCTTGACCTTTCCTTTGACCTTGACCTCACTTTTTAAAATATAGTATTAAAAACAGTTTTAGACTATTTTAATCAATATTGATGTACTAATTAATACCTATTGTTTAGATCTATTCAACTGCGGTAGCATGTTTTGAACTTGGCCTTTCTTTTGATCTAGTGTTTTAAATAGCTAATTTCAGAGAAAGTATTCAAGTAAATCTTATCAAAATGTGTATACTTGTATATACATGTACATGTATTGACAAAAGCTATTCAATTTCAATGGCTTCAACATTTTTTACCTTGACATTTCCCTTGATATTAACCTTTTTGATTTTTATTTTGCTCAATTTTAAACAAATTAAGACCTTTAACTGATTTTTACTTAGAAGTACCAGTATTAATTAGGGTGGTGTACTTTAACAAATTTAATTTTTAATACATTATTTTTTCCGATTTTTCTGTACTAAATTGCAGCTAGGTTAACCAACTTGTTTTTGTCTAGGAAAGAAATTGACACCAAGATGAGGTTCTAATGGTCCAGCATGTGCTAATTAGATGAAATGATCGTTTATTCATGGTTTTGTCAGTTATCAATGTTTTGACCAATTCATTCATTCCAATACATACTTGTACATATGTAGGTATGAATTACTTTACAAAAGCAGTAATGGTCATGGTATAGTACCTGAATTATTAATCCCTCATTTGTCTGTACATATAACCTTTACTGAGAGAGCAAAGCTTCAGAGCTCTATTATAGAATTCATACAATTTGCCATGCAGCACTGTGGTTAAATGATTTAATGTTGGAGGATACTTGTAAATGCATAGTAGTCGATAGATTTGTTGCCACAATGATTGTAGAATTATCAACAGTTTCGTTACCATGATACCAATGATTTGTTGTCAAGATAATTGAAGCTCAAAGTCTACAGATTTGTTGACATGCATCTTGTATAATAGTAATTTAAACATTTTTGTGTTGTCCTGACCCTTTTAGTCCAATGATTTGTTGCCATCATGATGATACTTGATACATTTTGTTTTCCCCTCTCAATGGAGTTGGAGGGGATCTAGTAATGCAAGCATGTGTGTGTGTTTGTTTTGAGTTATGTCTTGTGTGAAACAGCTCTGGAGCTGACATAATTTGCATCAGGGTCGATGTCGAATGCTCCCTTGATTTATAAATATGGTCATTTTTTCAGAGGGGATGCTCCGCTTTGCAGTGCCCTTGTTGTCTTCTGATTTGTTGCAAGGCTTCTTACTATCCCTGACTCTGGACAGTTGTTGATGACTTGAGAACCTCCCTCCCACATAATCACAATGTCTTCTTGTTGGTCCATAAATGACAAATTGCTTATTAAATATAGCTTCCACTTAATATTAGCAAAGTCACTGGGGGGGTCTTTAATTCCACATTGACGTTCAAAGTAAATGGGGTTATTTTTTATTTGCAACAAATATCTCTCCCTGTCACTTAGCTTACTCTAATATAAAGTTCACAAACTGCATCCAATTTTTTTCTATTTTTGGTAAAACTTAAAATATGATCACTAATAAAAAAAAATTAATATCAATTGTAGTAATCATATCTGTCTAGTTAATAATGTTTAATAAAGTCATGAGGAATGAAAATCACATCGTTGTAAGCATCAATTCATTTTAAGTGTGTTCACTTTAACCATGTTTTTACTGTACTGGTCAATCCTGACCAAGTATTCAGTGATTAACCTCATTAACTTAAATTTTTTATCTTTATTTTTTTCAGAAAAAGTTGCAATAAAGATCCTAGATAAAACGAAGCTGGATCAGAAGACTCAGCGACTTTTGTCAAGAGAAATCTCTAGTATGGAACGACTCCACCATCCCAATATTATCCGTCTGTACGAAGTGGTGGAGACCCTGGCTAAGCTCCACATCGTGATGGAGTACGCTGGGGGTGGGGAACTCTTCACTAAGATCTCCAACGAGGGTAAATTTCCAGAGGCAGAAGCCAAACACATATTTGCTCAAACTATAGCAGGTGTTCAGCATATGGTACGTTCACTCAAAAATGCTTTTACAATTACTTTTTAACTTTTTAAACGATGTAGGTATATATTACACACCTATATACTGGCTATTCATGACAGCTAGCTAGTAGCAAGTTTATCGTTCCCCAAGACAGCAACTACATGTATTTCCTGAGGCACATAAGTCAGTCAAGGAAAAAAGTTGCTATCAAGGGGGGCAATAAATTTGCTATTGTCTGAATAGTCAGTAAATAGGTGTTATATTATACGGAAGCTGACTTTAATTGTGTTATATAACAATTTGGATAAAACCAGAAGATTTCCGAAATAAAAAAAAGTGATGGAAACAGAATAATTTGATAACTCACCATGGGCATTAATAGTACAAAAACTATTCCATGGTTGGGGCTGTTAGAAAAAATAGCAGGTTTATTTGTCTTTTTTTTTAAAGAAAAAATTCACAGAGGTATAATAAATATATTAAATAAGTGCATAAAGATTTATTGGAGATTGAATGACAAGCAATAAATCTATTTATTATAGTTATACTGTTTCCTGGAAGATTTTTCAATAACAGTTCTATTAGAAGTCCATGACTGTCTGATTACGTTTATAGAGTAGATTTCAGGATTGGTAAGAAAGGACAAAATTACAAGCCTACACTACCGTATAATCCCTATTAACCGCCCAGGGTGCTTAGAAAATTGCGAAAACGGGGCGGTTATTTTGTAATTCTCTTTGTAATATTTAATATCATATCTTATCTTCAAAAAATATTTTGAAAAAAAAAATAAATTCAAAGAATCTCCAAAATATACTTTTGTAACGATTTTGACTGTGTTTATATTTGAAATGTGTGTATATCTATTTGTGGTTGTAATTTATTCCGACCGGAAGATTTACTCATCATTATTGTATGTTTAAACTACATTTAAACATGTTGTACATCATTGTTTTTACCTTATTTATAAGTCATGCTGTCATTTCACATTGTTTACTTTCGTTTTCCATTACTTCCGGTCGCGGGAAATTATGTACAAGTCTTACCTAGAATGTGTCGCGATTTCGCGGTTTATAACGTCACGTTGGGTCATGCGACGTCACTTTGTGTTAACGTTTTGTTTTAGAAGTTAGTTGGGATTTTTAGATGTTAGTAGACGGACGTAAAAATATTTTAAGAGTTATTTTGGAAGTGTCAGCCCTTGTGGATTTATATGACCTGATTATAGTCGCTACCAGACTAATATTGTGAAATGTCCAGGTAATTTAATTGGAATTTGTGATAATTTATTTATTTATATTTAGGAAATTTCGTAGTAGAAATTTACTTTAATTTTATCTGAAATTTGGGGAATTATTTGAATCTAGCAAGTGACGTTGTACGCGTGTGACCATATTTTTGAAATATAAATTGTTTGTTAATTTATTGACTATCATTATTAAATTTTGGAATAACAGAATATAATTTTTGAAAACTTTATTAGCTTTGAGTTTATTTCTTTAGTAAAAGACCGCTACCAGGTTTATTCATAATTTCGCTACCAGAAATTATAAGACCAGATATTAGCCGTGACCAGGCATATACATTACAAATACCAATTTTCTAATAAAATAATTATTTTATCCTATCTTACGAACTCGTAACGGCGAAAACGTTACATTTTGGTGGCAGCGGTGGGATAGGATAAAATTAATTTGTGCAGGAAAATTTGTTATTCTTAATTTACACTTGCTAGATTCTCCCCAGTGAAATAAAATGGCAGAATCCCATGGTAGTAATGTGAACCCCAATGACCAGGGTGGGGGTGAACCAAGCCCTGATATGGAAACTAAAATGAATTCTATGCAGTCCCAGATTTGTGATATTTCTACTGTGTTACAGAAACTTACAGAGACTTTAGATCGTTTGGTTGACAAAGACCATGACATGACAGACTGCAGAAGTGAGTACAGTGATTACAGAACGATTGACAGAGTGAGTGAGCCTGATGACCATAGACATACTCTGCCCAGTGACGCAAACCAGTCACGTTTTCGTTCGTTCGATACGCGAACACAGGTACACCCTCATAATGTTTTAGATAGACCATCGGATTTTAATCCGTTCAGACCAAATTATGAAAATCAAAACCAGACTCGACAGACTGTCAGAGCAAAACCCGACACTTATGACGGCAGATCTAGTTGGACAGACTTTATCACTCAGTTTGAAATTGTATGTCGGTTAAATAACTGGTCCAGTGAGATTAAGGCTCTACAGTTAGCAGCTTGTTTGAGAGGCTCAGCCAGAAGTGTTATGACTGATCTTAGACCCCATCAGCTTGAAGATTATTATGAGTTAAAATTTGTTCTCCAAACTCGCTTCGAACCAAAGAATCAAACTGAAATGTACCGCGCAGAAATGAATAGCCGGTATCGGAAAAGAGACGAAAGCCTCCCTGAATTAGCCCAAGATATAAAACGATTAGCCAGACTTGCTTATCCCACAGCCCCGGGTGAAGTTAGGGATACTTTGGCATATAAATGTTTCCGCGATGCCTTACATGACCAAGATATGGAATGGGCAATTTGTCAGAGCGCGTCCGAAAATATTGACGAAGCGTTGAACCTCGCGTTGAAATTTGAAGATTTCAAAATAAGCAGAAATCGGAAGTACACAAATACTCCATATTTGCGTCACCAGCAAGAGAGTTGTGACTGCAGCTATCAAAACCTGTTTGTAATTAGTGAAAATTCGAAGACCAGTGTCTCGCAATCAGATCTCTCAAATCACCGAAATGAGACAAAGAAATGTTTCTATTGTGGGAAACTGGGTCATTTTAAAAACAAGTGTAGGAAACGCAAATTTGATCTACAGTCGGGAAAATTAAGCATTTCCTCCAACAGAATGAATAACAGAGTCAGTATTGAAATTGACAAATTAAAGACTCAGATATCTGAGAAGGAGCGAGCTCGTATCCATGCAGAGGAAATGCTGCATGCTGAGTGTAGGCAGACTCAACTGATTAACCAGGAGTGGGAAAATCTCAAAGAGGCTCGAGACACGGCCGAGAAAAAGGTCCAACAGCTTCAGGATCGACTGCGCTTGGAGCAAGAAGCTTGGTTAAAAAGAGAACAGGAACTGTTACAGAAAATGGCTGAAGTGTCCGAGAGCGACCAGAAAGTTCTGCATCAAGAGAGGAAGAAGTCGGAAGAAGCTTTAACTCTGTGTAAGGACATGGAGGAAAATATCTACTCCCTCCAGACGGAGAATAGAAATTATCAGATGGAGCTGAACGCAGCCATCAGGGAAAAGGAGAGTATGAAGGTGGAAATGGGCATTATGGAGGCTAAGTTTGAGAGTTCATGGAGGAATCTAAAAACTGAGTTACAATCCAAGATTGAGAAAAAGCTTGCAGATCAGAGAGCGGAAATTCATAGAAAGACTGAAGAATCAAAGACTGAACTACTACAGAATCACAGACAGCAGATTAAAGAACTAAATCAGAGGTACACCAGAGACATGGAGCGAAACAAGGCCAAGTACCACAGCGATCAGAAGAATAGGGAAGAGGAGTTCCGAAAGCTTACACTGGAATACGAGGAAAAATTGCAAGAGCAGAGGAATGAAATTATATCTCTTCATATTGTCAATCAGAAACTAGAGTCGCAAAAGTCAGAGATTCTAATGAAGCTACAGTACATGATGCAGTCTCGGTGGAATGAAGCCGTTCAGATGTTGGCCACTTCTCCTCAGAGAAGGGCATATGCTAGTACACCCATACAAGAAGATACCAGCACAAGCTCAAGGGATTCACCAGCCGTCAGTGAGAAGAGGGTAGGTGAAACTTCTCAAATCTCGGAATCGCAGTTCAATGGATTTAGGAATTCCTCAGAAGTATTCCACTGTTGGGAACAAGACGGAGCATTACATGAAATTGTATATCACATTGTTTTTGTGTGTTATTGAACTGTTGTTGAACAGTTGGTTAGTGGATTCATGGTAACATAAATTGTTTGTATTTGTAAATGTTATGAAGATTGTATTTGTTGATGAATTTATTACATGTGCAAAATCATTTTTATCCCCAAGATTCGAGGACGAATCTTTTGTAGTGAGGGGGTGATGTAACGATTTTGACTGTGTATATATTTGAAATGTGTGTATATCTATTTGTGGTTGTAATTTAATCCGACCGGAAGACTCGTTCATCATTATTGTATGTTTATATTACATTTAAACATGTTGTACATCATTGTTTTTACCTTATTTATAAGTCATTCTGTCATTTCACATGTTTACTTTCGTTTTCCATTACTTCCGGTCGCGGGAAATTATGTACAAGTCTTACCTAGAATGTGTCGCGAATTCGCGGTTTATAACGTCACGTTGGGTCGTGCGACGTCACTTTGTGTTAACGTTTTGTTTTAGAAGTGAGTTGGGATTTTTAGATGTTAGTAGACGGACGTAAAAATATTTTAAGAGTTATTTTGGAAGTGTCAGCCCTTGTGGATTTATATGACCTGATTATAGTCGCTACCAGACTAATATTGTGAAATGTCCAGGTAATTTAATTGGAATTTGTGATAATTTATTTATTTATATTTAGGAAATTTCGTAGTAGAAATTTACTTTAATTTTATCTGAAATTTGGGGAATTATTTGAATCTAGCAAGTGACGTTGTACGCGTGTGACCATATTTTTGAAATATAAATTGTTTGTTAATTTATTGACTATCATTATTAAATTTTGGAATAACAGAATATAATTTTTGAAAACTTTATTAGCTTTGAGTTTATTTCTTTAGTAAAAGACCGCTACCAGGTTTATTCATAATTTCGCTACCAGAAATTATAAGACCAGATATTAGCCGTGACCAGGCATATACATTACAAATACCAATTTTCTAATAAAATAATTATTTTATCCTATCTTACGAACTCGTAACGGCGAAAACGTTACACTTTAAATGAAGATAATCCACCCAGATTATGCTAAATGTATCATTTTCCACCAAGAAATTGGATAATAAACAAGTTTTGTTTTCACTTCCTTCAAATTTTGGTAGACTTTTGATACAATTCTTGACAGGGGGCCCTTATTTCCTGACAATGGAAAAAGACCTAAGGGGGCGCTTAAAGGGGCAGGGCGGTTAATAGGGATTATATGGTAGTAATTTTTATATTACATTTTCTTATCCTGCTAATGGTATTGACAATTTTTATGTCTCAGCATTGGTCCATGTGGGGTTTATATTTAACTTTTAAATTGATCAGTGATTATCATAGTGTACAAGTCTTTAATCTACATGTAAAATACAAGATTACTGTCTGGGTGAGGATAAAGAACCATGCAGGCTTGCCAATTTTTGCCCTCCCTCACAGTTTTGACCTGAGCCCAAATATTGCTTTATTAATTTCAAGACAATTCTCATTGATTTTGTATATCCTGCAACACAGTTTTACATCTGACATCCAAAACAAGCTATTTTCAAGTTGAAACTACCATAACAGTAGAATTTTTAGCGAGGATTTAATTTTGGCATTATTAGCAAAGGTTCTGAGATCGCTAAAATTAAATATCGCTAAAAATAAACTGTCTTTTATTTGCAGTAGCTCTATTAGTGAGCATTTTCATATCGCTAAAATTACGTACTTCTTGTTAAAAATAAAATACCATATTTTAAAGACAAATCGCTAAAGAACTGCGAACGATAGTATTGTTCTCCTGCCTACCTCCAAGTCAATTTTCAAAAGTTAACATATTCGATTAAATTTTAATATTTTTATAGATAATTATATGGATTTTCATAAAACATTACTTATTTGGGAAAACAAAGAGAGATAACTCTAAAATTTTGGTAAAACGTGTTTTTCACTATAGAAATCAACGGAAAATATTTTTAAAGCATCTTTCCCCCCCGTGTCACAAAAATTCCTTTTTACAGGTAATTTGGAATGTTATTTCACGAATTCATACCAAAGCTTTTTGTGTGACACGGGGGGGGGAACATATGTTTATTGACAAAAAACGATAAAAATGCTTATTTTCCACCAATTTCAAAGCGATTTACATCTGAAACATGATATTTTATTGATATATTTATGTTTTATTTATTTGTCTAAAACATTAGAAAAGATATAAGGAACATTTAATCATTTCCAAGACTAGTTCAAAATATGGTGATGCTTGAAACTCCGATTTTAGAGGAAAATATCGTCAACCCCCCCTTTTTTCAAGAGCTGGAATTATGGATAATTTACTGTTTAGCACTGGTATTAAGACAATTATTCAATTACATTGAACTGTTCTTTGTATCAAACAAAGATTTTATGGCCAAATTGCTATTTATATTGAATTAAATGGTTCCAAAATGTAGGCAGGAATCGAGAGTTAGCGTGTGTATTTCTTTGTGTCTTGCTAAAATTTCCACTTATACGGTATAATGAGGAGATGGCTTGAATATACATGTAGATGACATCACAACTGATGCTTTTAAAGGCATCGGAATATATCACTTTGTTTTATTGGATCATACATCTTAGGTCAGTCAATGCAAGAAGTGGTTGCAGGATTAAAAAATAATTATCATAATGACAATCTCAACCTAGACATAAACTGTGTTTTCAAGAGTTCTGAAATAAAATTATCTTAAAAACTTTGAAATAAATATTCTTTGAATATTTCCAAAAAGTGTGTGAAAAGTATCTGGATAATTTCCAGTCAACTATCGATATTAAACGTGTTTTTTTTGCCTTTAATATAAAGTTTTTATTGATAACAGATTGTTATAATGACTTTTTATTCAAAGTAAATACAGACTTGAATAAATTATGTCAAAGTCAAATACCAAGTAGTCGTGTTAAATTACACAGTTTCAACTTTGTTATGATGTAACAAAATTGCACTTTTTCGGGTCCTCTTCATATTGTTCAAATACATGTATAATTAATGTTACCATGCAGTTACCTCCCCCAACTATTTGAACCATCTCCCTTAAACAATATTTAATTTCTTAAAATTAACAAAAAGACTAGCCATTTTCGATTATGTTGAATAAGCTATAGGAAATAATTGATCGTTATGAGTTTAACTTTTCTTGAACTCTCTCCTTAGTGACTGCACACATATTTCAGGTGTTCATATATACAACAGTCTATTATCGACCACAGACAGAATACAAATTTTGAAGAATTTTCATGCCTTCAAATTTCATGAGTAAACAAATATTCCTTGACAAATAAATTGTTTGTCGGACCCCAAGTCCTTATCAATGTCAAAAGTGTTCTCAAATAATATCAATGTTTGAAGTGGAATTCAAATTGAAATATCGACGTTTAAAAGCTCTGGCTACTCTACAAAATGAATATTTGTTATTGCTCCCCATTTACCACTATTATATGGTCTGTTACTAAACAAACTCTGGGTAAATGGGACTCATTTAAGTAAATTTAAATTTCATTAATTTTTTAATAATGACCAAACAATAAAAATATCTATATTAGGAATATTTATTAGTTTCATGAAAGGTTACAGGAAAACCCTGATGTGTAGACTGTATATTTTTTTTCATGGAAACTTATTTCGTACACCATGGGCATCTGCCAACAATAAATAAATTACATGTAGCCTTATATAAGCACCATTTTAATAAGTCTTATTTGATATCTACCAATAATTTGATGTATGTTTAGAACCCACAGAGTGCTATAAACTAATTAGTACAAAGATTCAATCATATGAACTAAAATTAATGTCACCCACATTTATCCAAGATGTAGGTGTTATCTTTGAGATTCTGTTAGCCAAATAAAACCAATTGAAATTTGCTCCTGGGCATCCTTGATTGAGGAGACTTTAATGAGTTATAAAAGAATGAGTGGTGGAGTTGCTTTGCAAGGAAAAAAAATACTGTTGTAAAGCTGGAGTGATTCAATCAACAAAAAATCCTACACTTGAATGTAACTTACAACTATACTCACAATAGGCATACAGTAAAACATGGTTTTGGCGAACACGCATGTTTTAACATGTATTACGAATTGACACTTACATTAATGAAGTGTTTTTCATTCCCTGTGACTTTATAATATATATACATGTATTATAAACTTGACACTGATTTAAGAAAATTATGCTTACTGTATATAACAAAGGAAAATTGTCCATCCCTGGCACCTGGTTTTAAGCATGTTTTACTGTATATATGTTTTTGGGTAAGAGGGTTGTTTTACAATCTGAGATTCTTTTATTTGCATAAATTCAAATCAAAGTTGAGATATATATCCTTTCCAATTGTTTGTGCTTTGTAGAAAGGGAGATTAACAAGTGTATCATCATTAGTGACAATCATTTCACATTTGTCTTTGATATACAGGTAACATATATCCGCTAATAAATATGACACACCAGGTTATTGTAGGTGATTTTGGATGTTGATCTTACATATTAATTATTGACAAAAGGATTAGACAAACTTGGATTTCATGATAATTAATTCATTATTAGGGATTATGTTGAGGGTGGAACAGAATTAAAAATCCATAATTTAATAACCAGGGTTGCAAACATTACATGACTTCAGTATCTCACTTCAAATACAGCTTGTAATTGTCATATAGATCATAGAGCTAAACATCGAATGGAAGACATATAGATTTCTGATTAAACCTTTCTTGAGAAATGACAGCCAATCTTGAAAAACTGACTTAGTTTAAGAAGTGTATATCAGAGAAGGCCAGTGACCTATAGATCCTTGATTCTGTCTCTAATGATGAGCACAATTACCATGGAAAATGTGGCCCATCTCAAGGACTCGCATGTACATGTACAAATACATCAATATAAATAGCAGCATACATACCCCGGTATATAAAATATTAAATTGAATGGGCATTCATGTACAAGTGGTAGTATACAATGTCATGTATAAAATATTGAATTGAGTGAACATTCATGTACAAATAGCAGTATATAAAATATTAAATTGAATGGATTCATAACTTTAAGCATTAACCTTTGAACAGTTCCGTTTCATTCAATGCCTTCATATGTAGAGGAGTTTATTTAATTACTGTGCAAGACTTCAATCAATCTAAATAATCTTGAGGGACTAAATTAATAGTTTTTCCCTTAAAGCAGAATTGTAGCTCTCTGCTTGTCTGCATTTTCTCAAGCAAAGAGCTACAGTTCTGCAGCTAGTTTCTCCCCTGAAAAGGTTTTCCAGTGAAATTCTCTCCTGATCATATTTTCACATGGTCATATATTTGATATGGGTATTTTTGAAACAACAAAATTATCTCCCCTGAAAAATGTTTAAGGTCATAATTCAACAAAATATTTTACTCTTAAAAATGTCTTCATCTACAGCTATACCATCATCTGATATTCTCGGGTGATCTTCTCTTTTACTCCTAAAAGACAAGATCATCCGTGGGTATCCCATTGTGCAGCTACAGTGGAGCCTTGTTTATCCAGATGTTTTGGTTTGGATACTGAATCATTCGGATACCTGAATCACCAATTAAACATGACAAAATAACATTAAAAAATTCCGTTCCGATGAAAAATCGTCCGGATACTGAAGCGTCCGGATATCTGGTGTCCAGATATCTGAAGGTCCACTGTATACATAAAAGACAAAAAATTCAGTATGAATTGATTAACTTTCTTTCTTTTTTACAGCATAAGCACCACATCATACATCGTGATCTCAAGGCAGAAAATGTGTTCTACGCTGGTTCTCGGATGGTTAAGATTGGTGACTTTGGTTTCAGCACGCACTGTCGCCCTGACCATACGCTGAACACTTTCTGTGGTTCACCCCCTTACGCTGCCCCTGAACTCTTCAAAGATGAAAGTTATTTTGGCACATATGTAGATATATGGGCATTAGGAATTATGTTATATTTCATGGTTACGGGGGTAATGCCATTCAGGGCAGATACTGTGGCAAGACTTAAAAAGTGCATTCTGGAAGGCCAGTATACAATTCCATCTTACGTATCGGATAGCGGACAGTTTCTCATTCGGAGTATTCTTAAACCTGTGCCTCAAGACAGATTCACGCTAGCAGAAATTCAGAAAAGTGAGTGGTTAGAGGGCCAGGATTTTCCTGTGGAATTAGAACCATATAATGTAAATCCGTCTCAAGATACATCTAGTCTTTCAAGAGAGGAGAAAGATGCTCGTAGAATTTTGCAAGACTTAGGAATCACAAATGAACATATCCAGTCGGGTCACAGAGACTCTCGAAGCAGCATTACAGGAACGTATAGGATAGTTCTACATCGCGTGCAGAAAAAGAAATCGGGTTTGAGTGATTCGGAGACTGACCTTCTTGGCTCGGAAAAACCGACCAGTAACGACAAAGCCAAATCTGCTCCGTATATGAAGAAGGAATCCAAAGTGTGCACAATCTTGTGATGTTTCTTATAGGTATAGGAACTACGATAAAGTGCTTTGAAACTCTTTAAACTTAGTCTGGACTAAGGATTTAGTTCAAATGGTGCAATTTTATCTCTTTCTTTCTCCTGGCACAGTAATGAAATTGAAGGAAACTGCAGAGAGAGAGAACTGTTTGTGATCAGATGGTGTGATTTTCTCAATTTTTTACCAAACTAGAAGCTTTTTAAACAACAGTTTTGTGAGTTTTACTATTGATTTCTTTTTAAAGTAATGTTTTATGGAAAGATTTAGAAGAGTATTTTTTACAAATCTTTGTAGGGAGACACAATTGATTTTATATTAAATCTCCGAAGTCTTTAATGTCAACATAATTATAGCTTATAACATCTCATTTTCCACAGAGTTTTCACTCAGCGCAAAGTTCAAATCAATTTCTTTTTTGTCAATATAAGCAAAGATAAGAACTTTACATGTATTTCCGTACATTTTGCTATGAAATGAAGACAATGAAATATCTGTAAAATTTAAAAGAGAAGCCAAATCTATGTGTTATGTACTTGTGTTTACCCTAAGATCTAGACATTGATTTTCATTCTAGTGTATATTTGAATTTCTCTGTAAAACCCTGACCAGAATCTGTTGTGTACATGTATTATTCATTACTAAAAAGGAATGTAGCCCAAATTTCATACATTGATTGGTTGTAAAATAATGGTCTAAGACCTTGTTCATGGTTCAATGTTAGGCGATCGAGTTTGTCTATTTTGTTTTGTGCAGCATCAAGTTTAAATACCTACATGTATCTTGTTTTCTTCCCCCTTAATAAAAACAATGTTTAAACATTGTCAATGTTTTTTTTTCTTTTCTTTGTGAGAGTTTTGAATTTTTTTGTATGTTTGCAGGTTAAAGTTGTTCAACCTACTTAGAATTATCATGTTACTTTGTACAACGTGCTAATAATATAAGGTTTCCAAGGGCGTGAGCTTTAAAATTAATACAAAACTGTTTGGGTTTTTTGTCAGTATTTTTATCAACTTTGTAAATCTTGGTCACGCTTACAATATTTTATAGAAGCAAAGATAGTCAAGACTGATATGGTGGTTTAATTAAGTTTGTTACAGATGGAATCATACTATGCCATACATTTTAAATGTTAATTATTAGGATATTTTATTATGGTCATTATTTATTTGTTGCAATGCTGCAGGTGAAGTAGTTATTTACACAATCTTAGATCATTTGGAAAAAAAAAATGTGACCACCTATATCTGTTTCAAAATGAATTTATGATAAAAAATACATTTACCCAATCTATGCCAGTTATTGGTCATGGCATGCTATCCTTTAAAAATTAACAGTTAAAAATATATGAACCCTTCAAAAAATACTTCCTGCAAAAAAACTGTGACATTTTCAAATGTATATTTACAGTCATTTAGCATAAAACTCTTGTTGACTTAAGATTTTTTTTCCCTATATGTCAACAGTTTTGATATACAAGTTTTCTTAACACTTTATATTGAATTTCTTTGTTGAAATGAAGTAGAAAATTAGATATCACTCCTATTCAGGTAAACTTTACTATTATTTATATTGATATACAATGTCAAAAACATATCATTTGAAAACTATATATTTTATATAAACAACTGAAGTGTAAAATTGCCCCCCTACAAAATTTTTATTCATATATGATTCTACAATTGTCTTATAAGAAAATTCCTAAATAATCCATGCATTCCTGTGAAATCCCCAAGGGGTCGATGAAACGCGGGGGATTCGTCTCTCACAACCCGTCCTTGGTTGACCCATTGTCTGTATACCCTGTGTACAATATTCTATTATAATAGCTGTGACTGTGATGTTTGTTACTGTGTCTACACATCATCATTACTCTAATAGAGAAGTTGTTTCTTTCTATGATGATTATTTTTTTGGAAATAAATAATAAAAAATCGATCTGGATTATATTTTATTTATGATGATGAACACTAGTGTTCATCATTAATATTGAAAAACCTTAATAGCTTTTAGTCTTGTAAACTGTGAATGTAATCATCTGTTCAGTCATAAAACTAAGGACCAGTTTTTGAGTACAAATTCTAAATACAATGTATAATCAATAATTGAAAAAAAAAAAAAAAAAGATGTGTTTGTGAAACACTGATGCCCCCATTTGGCAACTTATGACAAGGTTTGAATTTTCTCAGTAGGTTGTTATACTCCAAAGGTCCTGGTCAAAAGTGTTAGTACCCAAAGGAAGGTCTTGTTACATGTACAAGGAATACACATTTGAAATATGAAAGTCCTTGGGCCAAAATGCTCACCTGAGCCACTTTCACCCGGCTATTCTTTTTAAACAGATTATTTTCAAAATATATGAATCTATAAAAATTTTCTTATTTTGAGAATTATAAAAAATTTCAACTATATCCATATTTTGTATGGGCAAAATTTAACATTGCCCTATTAAACTTCCTGAAGAGCTTGCATATCAGTGTGTTACTAGCTATCCTCTTCATTATTCATTATTTTGCTAAAAGTTGATTTATTCTTTTGGGGGAGGGGGTCATGACCAATCATCTGTTTTAAATATACACTGACACATTTTACATTCATTACAGTTGAATTTTGACTTCCTAAACTTCGGCAACTCAACACCCAATCTGATTAAAATCAGATCCTTTGATCTGCTTGTTTAGATCACTACACAAAGATCTGAAGAAACTATACATTCAGAGTTATCTTGTAGTTACCTTTCTTATAAAAATATTCATTAACATTTTGAGCATGCAAATTAGAGATTGTTTGTAAGTGGGAAGCTGAATGTAGAAATGAAAGTAGCTGTGGAGAAGATCATCATTTCTTACCAAACAAAGCGCTAAAAAACATGAAAAAAAATTCATTTAATTAATATATTTATGTACAGAAAAGACTGTGATCTTTTTTTGACAGGCTACAGAAACCATCAAACCAAGTCACAATTTCCTATTTGTGTATCCTCAGTGCTTTTACCTCTGTAACTAAATTTTGAGATGCTTCTAAATTTTTGGAAGCAAACCTTTGATTGGATAGTTAAAAGGTCACCAGATGACCCTAAATGGGGTCTCTTTAGATCTTCGTGTAGCCATCTAATGAGCGGATCAAAGGTCCAATTTTAATCAGATTGCTCAAATATGTTAAGGTGAGATGTTTCCAACTGTTCTTAATGCATTTTAACCTCAATATCTCAAATCCTCAGATATTTCTATAATTTTTGTGACTGTCCCTCTGAGTTCAACATTCTGAGGTTTTACTGCATGTACATTCCAAATAGAGAAGTTTACATTCAAATACTGTAATAAACAAATTATAACAAGATTAACACCAGTAATATTTATTTTACATACGTCATAGTACATCACTGGTACAAAAATATGTGTTTTGAGTTGGGATGACTGTAGTAACAACATGGATGGATTTGTAGGTCAATATAGAATACCTTACAACATAAATTTACAGGTAACCAACACCAAATCTGGAGCATGTCATATTCTCCAATTCTTCTGGTAAATAACAATTGTGGAACAACATGTCTTATTTTCCTTTCTTCAAAAGATGCACAAAGTACTTGGAAGCATTAAAATACCCCCCCCCCCCCCCCCTAAAATTTATAAAAAGAAGCATTTTGTTTTGGCGCATAAATTATTTTCTTGTGACAGCATACAACAAAGGGAGAAAATTCTAGTTGCAATGACATCACAATGTTCTGGGTATCCTTAAAAGCACTGAACAGAAACTACATGGATCTTCACTATTGTGAGTACAAAATAAAGGATTACTATTCTCTGTATTGAAAAGCATATCTACGTTTTATCAGCAATACAAGTGTTATCCTACCAGCTCGTTTACTGAAACTCTCTAAATGCAAATAAAATATATGTACAGCTTTCTTTTTGAAGTTTTACTTCATCTTATGGTAGCATTTGTTAATATACTTTACGTGGAACAAATTTAAAAAAATACAAAACATTTTTCTACCAAATTTACTCTTCTCTTACACAAGAAGAAAAAGGAAATAAAACTTAATTAATCAAATAATTATACAAATCCATCATAATTGTTTATGAATTTAACATGCACATCAGATCTTTAAGTTTTCATAAAATTAAACAAGAAAATCAAATGTAACATTATTCTTTTTAACTGTATAAAAATAAATCAGGAATTGCATGAAATTACTGTTTATGATAATTAGAACAGAAACAATTTGATCAATTATTTTTTTATACACATACAAAACAATATACTCTGTTCCTTTCAATTTTAAAATTGAAAAAAAAATCTTACTCCCTCATTATATCTTCTTCCATATCTAGAGCAACATGTTTTCGTTAATGTTCATTCTGAAATGGCGTTTTAAACATGCCCTTCTGAAGTTTTCCCTTTTTCAAATTAAATCTAGAATCTAAGTTTTATGTTGTCATTTTGGAGGTTCGTTATCACCATCTGAAATTTAAAAAAAAAATCAGTTTTTTTAGGCAATGGCATCCATGTATAAAAGAAAAGAATCAACAGAAACAGCAAGGCCTTTCTTTATTACAAAGACACATTCTTTAATATTACTGCTATATTTATGTACAGTGAAACTTGTCCAATTCAAAAGTTGTGTATTCCCAAATCTTGTCTATTAGGATGTAAACTTCAAGTCCTCTCAGTAAATTTAAATTTTTTTCAAAATGTTGTCAAATCTACAGTGTTGTTTTATCTCACCAGTTTCCATGCAAACAGAGGTTGCCAAATTAGACAATATTTACTGTATTTATAAACAGCTCAACTCAACAATTATTAAGGACTATACATCACTCTGTATTTCATCATTATATGAAGGTAGACAACTTATGAAGCCCTGTGAAACATGAAACGTTTATATAATTTCTATACAAAGATTTAATCTTTTACTCTATATGTAATAAAAATACTATACGGAAAGAAATGCAACATTCACTCTGATTGAAATTTGATTAAACAGCTTGTACACTTACTTTGTTGTCCAGGGTCACTTCCTGGGGGTGGGCCTCTACCAAACTGTGACCGTAGCTGTGCCACTAACTCAGGGTTGGTTTGTTCCATTTGTTGGGCTAATTGCTGACCTCTGGAAATAATTCAAATGAAACATGTTTTATTCTAAATGGTATAAAAACATTCTTATAAACTTCAGACTCTTGAGCCTAGGATGATTAACTTGATGTTAAGTAGATGCTATTACAGCAGAACTCGGTTATAACGAAGTCACTGGGACCTATGATATTACTTCACTATATCCGTAATTCGTTATAACCTTGAAAGAAATTCATTAAGTTTATATCGCTGGGGATCCAAAATGACTTCGCCATATCCGTGAATTTGCAATATCTTTCGTACTAAACGAGTTTTACTGTACAGGACAATAATATCTGCATGCAAGTACCATATTTGCCTTTATGTTCCCTAGAATCTGAGCAACTAACAATTGAGCTACAATAATTATTGTAGAATTGTGCAAGAAGCCCTATGATGTTAAGAGAAGTTTTAGATAGACTGAAAGATAAGCAGATGATTTAACATTACTCCCGTTCTTTATTTAAAAAGTGTAAAAAAAAAAACAAGAGGCCCCTGGGCCTTATAGGTCACCTGAGCATTATTCAACAACTTCCCAGTGACTGAATGGATCCTGTTTTTTTCCAGATGCTATAGCATTTACCATCTATCATCATAACTATACACTTAGCAGTTCCTTAGTTTGGCACTTTATACCCATAGGCAGGGTAGGAACAAAAAATGCATTTCAACTAATCAGTAATATTCAGCAATAATCAGTAGTGCCGCTACCACACATGAACCCTTGACTCTTAGGTTTTAATCCACACATTGCACTATTTTTGGAAAGGCATACTTGCTTTTCAAAAATATTTGATTAATACCAAGGAGCACATTTCAAACAATTCATTCATTTTCAGTACATAAGTACAGCCCCCCCCCCCCCCCCACTATGGTACAACTGACCCTGGGGCCTTGAAATTTTTCTTGAAGATTATTTCTAACTATATAGGTAATTCATCTGCTTAAAACCTAGGAGCAAAGAAGAAAATATTCAAAGATTTAATGTTTTTTCACTATACATGTATAATCAATACAGCCCCGCCCTAACACCAGAATCCCTGACCCTGGGGCCATAAAATTCACAATTTTGGCAGAGGCATTGCTTGTTCATCATAACTATGTATATATTTATTTAATACCCAGGAGTAAAGAAGAAGATTTTCAAAGAATTCATGTATTTCCTCTATATAATCAAGAGACCCTGACACCAGAACCTTTACCCTGGGGCCATAAAATTCACAATTTTGGTAGAGGCACTCTTGCTCATCATAACTTTGTACTTAGTTAGTTTATATAAAACCTAGGAAGAGAAGAAGATTTTCAAAGAATTCAAAATATAATCAATAGAGCCCCGCCCTAAAACCAGAACCCCTGACCCTAGGGCCATAAAAACAATTTTGGTAGAGGCACTCTTGCTCATCAATATGTACTTTTAAATTATATAAAATCTATACAGAGAATCCAAAGAATTCTTGTATTTTCACTACATAATCAAAAGTTTTCACCAGAATCCCTGGGGGTGGGGCCATAAAATTCACAATTTTGGTAGAGGCATTCTTGCTCATCATAACTATATACTTAGTTAGTTTATTTAATACCCAGGAGTAAAGAAGAAGATTTTCAAAGAATTCATGTATTTCCTCTATATAATCAATAGAGCCCCGCCCTGACACCAGAACCCCTGACCCTGGGGCCATAAAATTCACAATTTTGGTAGACACTCTTGCTCATCATAACTATGTACTTAGTTAGTTTTTTAATACCCAGGAGCAGAGAACTAAGATTTTCAAAGAAATAATTCATTTTCACTATATACTTATTTAGCCGCCCTAGTACAAAATACCCCAGGGCCATGGATTTCACAATTTTGGTAAAACTCAATGTGATTACAATCATGCAAACAGTTTGACTGCTTGATGTCCAGGAGTAAAGATAGAAATTTTGTTAAGATTGCATTAATTTTAGTGGTTTTGGCCCCACAGGCCCCATGGGGGCAGGGATCATGAAATTCACAATTTTTTACCCATAGATGCTTTGTGCCAAATTTGGTTGAAATTGGTTCAGTGGTTGATAAGAAGCTGAAAATGTTCAAAAGTTTACGACCGATTATATATATACGACGAACGACGTACGATGTACGACCTCAAAAACAGATAGCAATAGGTCACCTGAGTGACTATAACCTAAAAACAAGAGATGTTTGTATAACACTTATGCCCCCCTCCCCCCCAAATTAGAATTTTTCAAGTTCAAAAAGGCATAACTCTGTCAAAAATGGCACGATTATACCCTAAACAGAACTTGACCTAGATAGTCATCTGATAAATCTGTATACTAAATTTCATCTCAGTATGTGCAACAGTTGCAAAGAAAATGAACGGAAACTGCGAATTATTGGAATTTTTCTAAGTCCAAGGGGCATAACTCTGTCAAAAATGGTGCGATCGTACCCAAAAAGAGATCTTGACCTAGATATTAATGTAATATATCCGTATACCAAATTTCATTTCAGTATGTGTAACAGTTGCAAAGAAAATGAGCGGAAACTGAAAATAATTGAAATTTTTCTAAGTTCAAGGGGCATAACTCTGTCAAAAATGGTGAGATCGTACCCAAAACAGAACTTGACCTAGATATTCATGTGATATATCTGTATACCAAATTTCAAAGTATGTGCAACGGTTGCCAAGAAAATCAGAAAGCTATATGCTAATACCGTATATCCGACCGTTTTTTTTCAGCAAAGCAATATTTTTCCCTTCTTCGAAGGGGGGCATAAAAAGGGCAGACAGTACCCTTTCAAATTAATTAATAGTAAAGTTTTGCCTATAAACATGTAATCAGATGGCCATATAACATTGATGTAATCTAAAGCCAGATGTAATCTGATAGATATGCTATCATCTTAAAAAATCACACTTACGCAAAATAAAAACTTTCCCATCTACCCCTTTGGACCTCCCTGGCCCTTTCCCCACGCAAAAAAGGATATACGGTACACCACCTGACATTGATGACATGAAGTTGGCCATCCTGAAATCAGATATCAGAGTAAGTATTTTATTCATTCATAAAGGTAACCATTTTTCTTAGAGGTACTTTTACCGTACATATTAAAACCAAATATTAAACATTTTATTTATTTTTGTAATTTCAAATTATTACAGTGCCTTACATTTGTTGCATGTTTGGGTTCTGCATCATTGACTGGGCCTGAAATAAAATTCAGATTTCATAAGACACACTAAGAATCAAAATTTTCAAATCTAATGAAAAGAGCTTTTCTAGAAACCTATATTTTGTGATTATGCATTCATAATACCGTAATTTTCGGATAAAAGGTCTTATTTGCGTTTGTTTTTATTATTTTATAAAAAATTGACCTTTCTAAAACTCAAGTTTACAAAAATTTCCCAAAATCAATAAAATTTACATCAATTTCAAAGCAAGTTCTGTGCCACTTTCATAACTTTTTTCATTATTTTAAGCAGAAAAATTAATGCCCAGGTAAACTATAAAATATTTATTCTATAGCTTTCTAACAAAATAAATTCCATTAAATATCTATTGATGACAAAGGAAAAAACTTGCATTCAAGTAAATAATTCCAATGTGTTATCCATCATGCGGTAGCCATCTTGTGAAGTTAGGAAGTCTGTGTACCGTTTACTAAAAGTAATTAGCAACCGTATCAAAAATTAAAATACCTGTAAATTTGTGTAGAGATCACGATTACCGCTACACAAAGATTGGCTTCTAACCGAATTTTAATTGTCTGACAGATAAAAGGATTTACACTGTGTGTACACGCAAAGGTTTTAACACCTGTGTTGGTTTAATACCCGCAGGGCATGATTAGCAAATCCACATGCCGTTATAGGGTATTAGTGTTACACATCATTGAACAAACAAAGCCACACATTCATAATGACTGTCAAATTGTGAATGTATAATATTTTGTTAAATTTATAAATTAAACTTATAAATGGTAATATTATTTCAATTCTTTACTGTTGCTTTATATATACATTCAATGGTGTTTGCAGGTTTTAGCAAATCCCTACACAAAAATCAAAATGGCGACAACAAGTTACATGATTACACCGGTTTAATAATGTCTGAATAAAACTATTAGGAATGTGTCCAAGTTGTTCTGAAATCAGAATTATTATTCTTTGATCTCGGGTATTTCCCCCAGGGCCTATAGCTGTAAAATAAGAACGTATTTACGTGTTATTTATGTCTGTGGTTTAACAACAGTATGAAACTATGGAGGCATTGAACAGGCAAGTTGGAGAAAAATAAGTAGTAACACAATTTAAAGAAGTTTTAACAACATTTTTTTTAAAAACTTTATTTAAATGCTGTAACATATTAAAATACCAGTTTGTCATTTCTCTTGGAGATGCATCTTAATAAGGTAATTAACACATTATCTATTTTTGTAGTTTCTGTTTGTTACGTTGTATCTGCATTTGTTGCATCTTTGGAAAACGGGAAACAAAGCCTCGTCCTATATAGTAAGTTCGTCATCTAAGGATTTTTCAAAAATTAAGGCTGAAAAAGTTTTATATATACCCCATGTTTTTGTTATGCATTTATAATAACTATAATTACATTTTAATTCTTTTGTTATTGAATCATGAAAGTGTACTGACCATATTCATGAGAGCAGGATTATTCAACATCTGTCCAAAATCCATGTTTCCCATTCCCATAGGTCCCATGTTAAATCCAGCCTGCAAGGAACCACAATTTCTGTTAATTCTCTCTACCCAGCCATTATATCAAATGAAAACCTCAAATTTCACTTGACTCAAAAATGATTAGTAGGAAAACTGGGAAAATTAAGAGTAGAACTAAAAAGAAGTTATGATAAACTTTTCTTGACAAATCTCTGTTTTGTCAACAGTGAATCCTTTTCATGGTGATTTCATTCTATTTTTTTTATATGTTTCATACAAATTCAAAACATATGATATTCTGAGATTTCTTTGAAAATTAGCATTTAGAGAGAGTATGTGTACTTGTCCCAAATACGACTTTAATGTATCTCTATGATTTTTTTCAAATGAACCCTATTTTCACTTTCACTTTGTGAGGAAGTTTACCTGCATGGCTGCTTCCTTTAACTTTTGCTCTGCTATTTCTAGGTTGTTTTGGTATGACTGGTTAGTTGGGTCTAGTTCTAATGCTTTTCTGTAGCATTCTCTAGCACTCTCATGATCCATTAATGCTGTATATGCAATGCTACAATGAAAAAAAACAATAATTAAAAATAATCAAATATGCATGTAAAAAAAATATTTAAAATTTAGCCAACTTATACATATCTAAGAAACAGATTCATTGAAGTTTCTTTAAATACTGTAGTAAAAAGTATCAGACACTATGAGGATTTCCAATACTTGACACAACATTTAATATATTTTGTTTAAGAATTCATGAGTTTCCAGGAAATTTAACAATATCTTTATTTATATTTTATGCAAACTATATCCAAATGATTATGCGAGAAAAAGATGATTAATTTGAACATTATGAAAATAAAAAAAGTAAATAAACATATATCTTACCCCATTCTTCCATATGCTTTAGAATACTGAGGATCAATGTTCAATGCTCGTTCACAATCTTCGATAGCTTGTATGTTTTTATTCAGCTTACTATAAGCAGCTGCCCTGTAGAAGATCACAAGCAATGAAAAAGCATCTTTACCATTTTGACTTTGAAATACAGATTTTACTGTCTATATGATTTCATGGCATTACTTGTCTGTGTGATTTTATGGCATTACAAGGGGTGATTAAAAAGTTCGCGAACTATCTCTGTATTTACAAAACCACAATTCAGATCAGAATGAAATTTGGCACACCTATAGTTATGCATATGTTCTATAAATAGCATATGAAAAGTAATGATTTCCTCCATCATTGTGACATCACAATGTGAAAATGAAGTCAATATGTAGGCCACTCATGACGAAAAAAAATGGTTATCACTTTAATGATTACGATTGACATTCATTTGAACACCTGTAAAGTTTAAGGCATAACTTGGAAATTCCTTTGAAGTATATCTTATAATAATTTGTACAAGGTTTATGAAGATAATATACTTTCAAGACGTCCAATTATAAATTAGATTGTTTAAGTGGTGGAAGGGAGATGGTTAAAAATGAAGCTTGTTTTTTTGTAGCCCAATGAAAGCAAGCTTGGGAAGAGATGTGTCCTTTGTTAGGGAATTTGTTACGAAAGATTACAAAGTAACAACCAGAAAAATGGCTGAATATCTTAACAATAATGTTATTAATGAATCTCTGAAATATCATTTAATTTAGACCTTTAACATATTAAATATGATAAAAAGAAGGTCTCCACAACTATATCCATATTGGATAAACGGTGTTCCCAAGACAGAGAAATTGGTTTGTAATGGTCACCATGTTCTTTCTGGGAAAGGATATCCTTATCTAACCATCCTATTTCCGAGACATGGTCATTTCTGCCAAATAGACTGTTCTTATTAAAAAAATTAACTTGCATGGTAAGAAATACAAGACTAGGAAAAATATTTTAGCGTCCATTAACAGAATGCTTCAGAGCATGTCACGTGACCACCTTGATCACGTGATTCACTCATGTGCAGAACAGAGGCAGATATGCATTAAAATAAGAGAGGGTTAACTTTAAAAAAAATAATGAACACCGAATTCTAATTTTATTTGTTTTATGTACGTTGTTCAATTTGTTTGCGAACTTTTTGATCACCCCTCGTACTTCATAACTCTTTCATCTTTACAGTTATGTGTATATCAATTGGGAATAATTTGGACTGCATGACTTCATTTCATTTTAATAAATTAAAAACGTTTACTTACCTGTTACAATAATAAACTGAATTTTTATTATCAAGTTTTATTGCCTGTGAATAGCATTCTAAAGCATCTGAAAATTTCTCTTCTTTCATGAAATTATTTCCTGAAAAACAAAAGCAACTATTATATACAGGTACATATCAACAATAATTCAATGAACAAAACAATTTATTCAGTAATGTTTCCTGTTACTTCATAGTTTTCTGTATGAAGCATTAATGGTAACTAAAAACTTTATAAAATACAATGCCAAATGATTGAGTCCTGAATAGTTAATTTAATATACAATTAATTAAATGTATATGTTTATGCAGTTATTTCTATTTTAAAAATTCAAATATTTCACACAACTATCAATATCAAATAGTTTTTCTCCATTAGAATGTATACAAATCTATACCTTCATTCTTTAACTTCTCAGCTTGTTCTTTTTCTTCTGGAGTGGGTTCATGTAGTGAAAGAGTGGAAAATTCTGATTCAGGCTGTAATTACAGGAAACTGTATTAATTAAAGTTCAATACACCGAAAACATTTATCTTCACCAGTGCATTTATGATCAAGATTGTTGGGTACAAACTACAATGCAGAGAATTTTCATTTTACCTGAAGAAATGTAAAAGTTTCAGAAACAACTTTTACTAACCTCTGAGCTTATTTGTGAATTGAAAATGTCTAAAAGATTCCTCTGTACTTGATATCTAGCAATATGTGACTCATCCTGGGTGTCTATATTGTAGGCAGACTCCAAACACTGGATGGCAACTACAAACCAAAGCAAAAGAATCATTCATTTAATAAATAAACAGTTAAACTGTTTATTTTTGGTTAATGACTTGGTTTAATGAAAAATGTACAAAGCACTTTGCTGGGTAGAGTCTATCCACATGATAAAAACTGAATTTGAAATTCTGGTTGGGTACCTTTAGTTTAATTATTTTCAGAGTTTCAGTTGTTTAGTTTCCTGACAACTTTTGCAATTAAGAAGCCTTAAAAGCTATGTCAGGTTTAGATCTCTAAGAGAAACTTAAATTAAGAAAAGTAAACTGTAGTGCATCTAGCCAGACTAATTGACAGAAAATTGATTACTCATTAAGCTGCTCAACAGCAATAACAGTCGGTGACTAGTTTGGATTTCTTGTTTCTTATTTTCTCTTCAAATTAAGAGGACCTGTATTTTCTTCTTGGGAAAAACAATCTTGATTTTTAATCTGATTTGGTATGAATTTATACATACATGTTCCTTTGAATATATTTTGCATATTTGTATCTCTTAATTTGGATATCTGAAATATTCCATAAATCAAAAAAGTTAAAATTTTGGTACCGATTTCTTCCTCGGCAGCAATGACAATATTCCATTAAGAACATAAAAAAAGTAATACAGTAAAATTCGTTTAGTACGAATACAGATATTGCAAATTCACAGATATTGAAGTTATCTTGGATCCCCAGCCACATAAATTTAACAAATTCCTTATATGGATATAACAAATTACGGATATAACAAAATAATTTCATAGGTCCAAGTGACTTCATTATAACCGAGTTTTACTGTACCTTTTTTTTTTTTACCATATTACTACTACATGCTTATGTACTGGCTGATTTTCAATTAGATTTGTCTGCTTCAGAGATAACTCTTACCTTCTAGACTCTCTATAGAATCTTCTGATAAATTTTCCTGTGTCGTTTGGTCCTTTAAGAATTTGACAATGGAAAATACCAATTTATTCACATCAGCCATGTTTTTTACCTACAAAGAAGCATCAAAGCAGACCTTTAGGATCAGACGCTGGTAAATTAGATAGATCATCCAATCAATAAAACGAGATTGTCCAAACCCAAATTAATGATAAAATTCACTCTGTGTGTTGTGTTGGCAATGCAGCAAAATAAACAGGGGCAGTTATTTAGAATGTTCTTATTGTTAGCATCATGTAATTCAGAGCAAGAAAAAAATGTTGAGAAAATGAAGTGAATTTCATGTTGATTTTATTTTTTATTTTTTGAAGGCAAAAGACAGTAAAATAGCAAGCTCAAAAAGGTTTGATAAGATTAAATTGATAATTTTCGGTTTTCTTGTGTTTTATTTTTTAAATATAGTTTTGGAAAAGATATACTCCACTTTGCTACATTGCAACTATATTGCTTGTTTAATTTTGAATAAAGAAACCCTGCTGTTTTTCCAGTGTTTTTATTGGTTAAAAAAAAAATAAAAATTTCCAATAGTATAAATGCAATTTTCTCATTTTGGAAGCTTCAAATTGTGATTTTTTTAAGTAGTCAAGCAAAAATTGATTGAAATGGATGCAATATTTGCCAGTAATAAAATTTATTTTTAAAATGGAAATTGGTAATACAATTGCACTAGTTAATTGAGAGATTTCAATAAAATCTGTGGAATTATATTTCACACAAATGCTTTGTTTATTTCAAAAAATTACAAAACCGATTTGTGTAATTAATAAAAAATAAAAATACAATACAAAAATCGGCAGAGGCAAATTTCATATCCATTTGTTTGACAGGTTTTTAAATTACCCCGGATTTAATGTTTTTATGCAGTGCTAACCTTTCACCAATGCCTCTACTTTTACATAACCTAAGACGTCAATATCTACCACTTTGCTACATTGCAACTATATGTGGGATATATTCTTAACTGTGGTGAGGGCTTATTCTAAGATACAGTTTTACAATAATTTCAAGGTTTGACAATAATGCTGGTCCATTGTAGTCTCAGCTAGGTTTATTTTATACATTTTCATTCCAACTTATAAAATCTGTGGGTAATTATAGATACGAACAAATAAAAATTTCAAGAAAGCAATATGAATAAATTACAGATGTTTGATTTTCGACAACTTTTACTGAAAACCCCTGCATGTAATATTGACTTTCTAGCTTTTGGTTAAGTAGTCAAGCAATACAGGGTCAATTCAGCATTGAATTTTTTTGATTGATCGATATGAAGTAAATGATTGAAGTGATCATTTAGTACAACACATAAAAGAAAGATGTTGAACATTTTTAATGTTATGAAAAAAGAATGAAATTGGTAATACAATTGCACTAGCTAATTGAGAGATTTCAATAAAATCTGTGGAATTATATTTCACACAAATGCTTTGTTTATTTAAAAAAATTACAAAACCGATATTGTCAGGAATAATTAATGTTAAAAATATTGACATTTCTTTCTTGTTCTATTTTTATGGACCCAAAAATCTCGTGCTGGATAGTTAAAGTAAAGAAGCACTTGTCCTGCTGGACTTAAGCCTTAAAATGCTAGTGTCAAACCTCGAATTTCATATTTCTTGCCATATATATGCAACACACTAAACACTATTCAATCTGGTCATATCACAACTACTTTTCTTTTGATAGTTCTGTATAAATCATAGTTATCACGATCTGTCTCACGAGTATCACGTTGACAATGTGAAAAACAATTAGGTATTTTAAAAATGAAAGTGTCATGCTTTGACGAAATTCGGGCTAATATCCGATGTATCGTGGATAACATCATTAGGTATGTGTCATTTATATTTTCAATTAAATCTCAAGTTCCACGAATCTTTTGGCGTTTGCTTGAATATACATATAGTAAACATACATGTTCAGCACATAAAGTTCAGTGTAAAATGAATATATTATGTTTTTACTACCTAGCACTAACTGGCTCGGTCAGCAGCAGGCAAACCGGAAGTTGTCTTTTTACATGTGTACCTTAGAGATTAGGGTAAAAGTAGAGGCATTGGTGAAAAGGGAAGACAAACCTTGGCCGGGGTAATTTTCCGCGATGGATATGAAATTTGCCCCTGCCGATTTTTGTATTGTATTTTTATTTTTGTATTTACACAAGGGCTCTACACATATTGTAGGTTCCTGTATGTGGGATTCTCCATTTTACAAATAAATTTTATTACTAGCAAATATTGCTCCATTTTCAATTTTTCGTTAAAAAAAAAACAACACAGTTTGAAGCTTCCAAAATGACAAAAGTTGCATATACTAGGACATTATTTTTTTTAACCAATAAAAAACACTGGAAAAACAGCAGGGTTTCTTTATTCGAAATAAAACAAGCAACAGAAATGTCACTCATTCGCCAAATTCCCCAAAAATAAATCTCGGGATCGAAATACAAAAGCAACGTGCTCGTTGAGAAATCTTGAAGTTGAACTTGAAGTCGAAGTTGACGACTTACTTGCAATTTAAATTTTTTTGCAAATTATTCGCCGAAGTCAAGAATCAGCGAAAGAGAGGTAAACTATTGTAAAAAAGTAAATGGCAACATTGTGATGTTTTATGGAAAAGAATGTGAAGAATGATTCTTACAATGGTTCAGTTTAAAAAGCAGACGATAAAAAATGCAATCGACGTGGAAGAAAACATGCTGTTAATAGTAAAAGGTCCAGAACAAATCTCTTGATTAAGCTATATAGCTTGAAATAACACTTTTGAATATAAACTTTATTAATTAAGCTATTCTGAATTCATAATAGCTTGATAAAGCTATTAATATGCAGTTTTCTGACAAAAACGTTTTTGTAAGAGATAAATAGAAAGTCACAAGTCATTTGACATATATGTGTATATAAGCTATATAGCTTTTTGAAATATTTTTACAAAAGAGGATTTTTCTTTTGAATATAAACTTTATTAATTATCATTTGCAAACTATTCTACCTGAGGATGATTCCATATATTCCATCACAAATCAATAGCTTGATAAAGCTATATATCCCTATAAAACTGCAGTTTTCTCCCCGGGGGGTCACAAAAAACTTAAATCTGTTTTTGTAAGAAATTTTTAAAGATTTTTCCTATATATTCCTATGAAAGTCACAAGTCATTTGACATATATGTGTACTATCAAAGATAAATAAATAAATAAACCAAAATAAAAAATTGTTCTAATTTTGCAGCTGTTGAATATTTTTAAGCAAAAGAGGATTTTTCATTCCTGGCCCATTGTTTGTAAAACTTGTAACATATTTGAAAAAGAATCTAACATAAGTTCATGATTTCATGGTTCATTTTTTAAAAATTCAGAAATTTTTCACAAATTCATAATTATCTCCCCTTGGAAGGGGGCGTGGCCCTTCAAAAAACACCCCTTCAACTTTGTGCCAAATCTGTGTCCAGGCACCTTTTAAGGTAATTTATGTAAATTTTAATCAAACTCTTTTGAATTTCAAATCTGTGTCCAGGCACCTTTTAAGGTAATTTATGTAAATTTTAATCAAACTCTTAATTTTTTTTTGCAAAAAATCAAATGACGTGATCCCTTCAACAGCTATGGGGATGTTTGAGGATCTTGCTGCAAGGACATTTGAGGGAGACAAGTACATGCAAAATTTTGCAGAATTATCTGTATTTCACTTAATATTTTTATGTAAAACATAATTTAATATACAAAGATTTTTTTTTGAAAATGGAAGAACACATTACAATTTTCATTGCTGCAATGAATAACTTAGAAAGAGTTATCTTTCTTTACCCATATGAGGACTGCCTGTTATCCAATCCCTTTCATTTTTTTTAAAAATCAAAATTAAATGTGATCTTTGACCATTAGAAAATAAATCTCCAAAGAATATATACACCTGTATTTTTGATATTAAAGAGTATATCTTCCATAACTGATGCTTGTTAAATCAACTAGTTTTTTTCTCAAACTTGCTTATTAGGATCGAACAATTAATTTTGATATTAAAACTGTTCATTAACAAGCAAAAATCATTGGGTCTAAATTAATACATTCCTTTTTCATCATCTAAACATTTTTCAATTGTTCTCTAAACTACTTGGTTGTTTTTAATAAAATTTACACAGAATTTTAGATTAGATGAATTTAATTTTTTGTAAAATAAATTTATAAATTTATTAACACTTTTTTGTATACAAATTAGATAACTAGATAAATTGAAGAACTATGACTGATAACTCTCGAATCTGCCTACACTTTACACCCATTTGATTCAATACAAATGGAAATTTGGCAATAAAATTTTCGTTTAAGACAAAGAACAGTTCAATGGTAATTGATTTGTTATTTTAATACCAGTGTTAAATAGTAAATTACATCTATTTCCTGAGCTTTTGAAATACAGGAGGTAGACTGTCACAATATTTTGAATTGAAAAAATTGGGCTTTAAAGCCTCACCATATTTTGAAATAGTCTTGGATATGTCTAAATGTTCCTTAAATCTTTTCTTATGTTTTATGCACATAAAATTAAACACATATATTAATACAATACAATGTTTTAATTGTAATTAACCACTTTTAAATTGGTGAAAAAGAAGCATTTTTGTCGTTTTTTGCCAATAAACATACTTCCCTCCCATGAAACACAAAAAGCTTTAGTATGAATTTGAGAAATGATACTTCATATAACCTGTATAAAAGGGGAAATTTTGTTTCATGGGATCACGGGAGAGGGGATTTTTGAAAAATGTTTTGCAATTTTCATTGATTTCTGTAGTGAAAAACACAAGTTTTAATTGCCAAAATTATAGAGTTAAGTTATCTCCCTTTAACTTGTTTTCTTCAATAATGAAAATCCATGCGTTTTTGAAATCAATATAAATTGAAAATCATTTGAATATTTTAACTTTTGAAAATTAATTTGGAGGTAGGCGGGAGAACGAGTACCATCCTTTGCAGTTCTTTCTTGATCCACTATAAGCATGTATAAATAGTTTGAATAAGATATTTTTTAAAACTTATACAGTATAATTTGTCCAAACCGGCTATCGTCGGTTCCATAAAATTCGGCCGGTTTAGACAGAATCCGGAGTGCAGGAAAAATGCAAGAAAATATTAATAATTTAGTTTTATTTGGTTTTATTTACAAGTACAGCCTATACATAGTAAAATATAACTAAATTATAAAATCAATCAATATTTTGGAGTCTAGAAATTTTAAATAAAATAGTCTTGCATCACTTACTGTATTTATTTGTTTGTTCACGAAGTTTGAAAGTCGGGGTGAAATATTGCCTATATCAAAATCTACACACACGCATATTACATGTATATAATATATCAATCGGACCGGTTTTGCAAGTCATAGAGCCCATTCAAGGTATAACCATAACACACTTATTTACGATTTGATAATCATTGGATAGAACTTTTAATTTTCATGTAAAAAATTACATCTTCTTCACAGGGTTATGGCGCCATTTTGAAATGCATTCGATTTTTAACTTTTCCCGATTTATATTTTTATTTGTAAATCGTGTATATATATATATATATATATATATATATATATATATATATATATATATATATATATATATATATATATATATATATATATATATATATTGTATTTATGTAATATTGTGGTAAAATGAGTTAAAACAATTTTAACGTGTATTTTTTTTAAACTGTAATTTAATCATAATTTTTTCAAGCAGGCTCTGTCACCGCCGAATTTCAGTTCGTCTCATGGCACTAATAATGCTAATGTAAACACAGATAAGGCTTAGCACATCCACCACGAAAGGTGTCAATTGCTTTGAAGTAACTCATGTAATTATGTGTGGCCGGATTAGAGGAAATAATTATCGTTAATTATGAGCAGTTGGGACCAGTGTGACCGTTCGGAATACAGAATAGACAGTATCCGGACTACACAGAATTTTTTCTAATGAGTTTGTTAAAGAAGTTTAAAATTTATAGACGGAATGGACAAAAATCCGGAGTACACAGAGTCCGGATTAGAAAAGTCTCTGAAACTCCTATCACGAAAATAAGGAATGAATTAGTCAGTTTGATATGCAAATCAGCAGTCAATAGCCCACATGTTTGTTGGTTCCCAAACAGTTACAGTACATCAAAGATTCAGAAAGCCCAATAGCTTTTATAAAAAATCTGTTCAACTCTAAATAAGATGGCAATTGCTACACCTGGGCTTATGTCACTTGCATTCTGATTAAAGTTTTAGGAGCATGCCCTTGCCATTCTATAAAAGCCCTAGTTTGCCCAAATTTCCATGGATGATTTATCTAGGGATATAATGTTGTGGATGCTGAATGAGTTCAATTTCCAGATGAGTGGCCAAAGTTTTCAGAGCAAGCCCATTCCCAAGTACAATGTACCTATAAGTCTTTATTATATCTTCATTGTAGTTGCTTAGTCCTGAAATAGACAATAATATCCCAAAACTTAAACCTGGTTACTCATCTGGAAAATGAAGTTCACATCCAGCACAGGTAGCATCTAAAAACTTCAGCATTCCAAAAACTTTTACTATATACTCGCCTATAAGTAGAATTTTTGGGAGTTAAACTTTTGTCCAAAACTCTATGTCCAGACGTATAGGTGAGCTGTAAAAAGATTGGTATTTTAGAAGGTCATTCCCTCTAATATAAGCTTCAAAAATACAACCGACTAATAGGAGGACCGACTTATAGGCGAGTATATAAACCATTATTGGTATACAGGCGGTACCTGTTCATTCATCTGGAAAATGTACGTAGTTTAGCTTTAGCAGCCAAAGTTAGGCTAGTTGGTCTTGAAACAAAACTTGCATATAGATGGATCTGAGGATTGACTCTACCAGAGTTGCTTTAGATGCTTTTATTTTTGGTCATTTTAATAAATTATATACATGTAAATGTTTCTTTACCAGTAATTTTAGAATGAAAAATAATATGCATTTTGCAGCTCCAAAATCTGCATTACCAGACTCATACATGCTGTCATCTGATATATGGTCTTTACCAAGCTATACAATAGTTTTTATAGAGAAAAATGTCTGCAACTGATGTTGATTAAGGGCAGCAGGTAGCACTTTGTCAATAGCTGTGGATTGCTGGAGAAAGAAATGATGTCCAAGCATCTTTGTGGCATGTGGCATATCTTCGGATGCTCTCTGCATTAGTTTTGCTTTTTCGAGGATAAGGACGCCAGAAATTATTGCACTTTGCAGCTGATGTTCATTTTTCACTTCTTAGTTGCCAGTGACTATAACTCAAACAATAAAAGAAAGGTCTACAGTTGAAAATGCTTTCAAAATATTATACACTTATCCACTGGTTGTGAGTGGGATAGCTCTTTTACCAAACCCGCGAAGAAACAATTACCCTCGGGCAACCCGAGGGGAATAGTTCCTGTCAAGGGTTTTATAAAAGAGCTATCCCACTCACAACCAGTGGATAAGCGTTTTATTATACTGATGTATAATATAATTTTTGAGGTTCGATTTTTTTGGAGTAAGATAATACTGCAAGAATAATCTGAAATCCTTATGACGTCACAATCCTTCTGAAGTCATTATGACATCATAATGTCTATTGATTTATCGCTGGAAATCAAAATTGGCGGCAAAAATGTCATGAAAATTTTCCGAGGGTGGATAGCAAAAACTATACCCCGGGGTATAGCTCTGCTATGCGTGGACTATACAGGATAGTTATTTTACCTTCTAAACTTTATATAGGAAACATTTTAACAGAAGTATAATAATTAGCATTATTCAATATTTATAGAAGAGAAATTGATGTCTCCCAATATATCCTAATGTTGATGTATCTGTACAGATATTTTTGTACAAATGGGATAGTAATTAAAGGACCAATATCCTATATTAGGTGCAGATGCACCTGTTATTATGACTTCTGAATTGCAGCCATTTGTCAGCAAGTTAACATACAACAAACATTAAGTAGGACTCTTTCAAGTGCCTCTTTTTCACTACCTCCGATCCTAATGAGTTACAGCTGTTGGTTTCAATAAAACACCCATATCTTAGGGTGATATGTAAACATGCCGGAGATTCTATAATTTTCACCTCAAACTGACAGCAGTAATTAACAACAAATTCAGACTGATGGGAGCATGTCTAAGGTGTTGAAGTGATTTGTTTTTTTCTTCAGGTGTAAACTTTTGAGGTTATATGGGAGAACACAAATTTATTTGAGAAGTCCACAGGGCAAACAGAGGAGGAATTAAAGCGAATGTGATACCACCCATAAAGGAAAAACAGGTAGATTTTGTTTTTAGTTTCTTTACAATCTTTAAATTTATATGGCCAAAAAATTATAGGAATGGCTTATTTTTAGCAAAGACAGGTGTGTTTATATAAAGATAATAGTACCACCTTGAAGATAATGGCTTATGAAGCAGCAACGAATTTTGATAAAGTTCAGAATAACAGTAGAATTTGGAGAACTCAAGGTGGTACATGTTTTGTGATTTATTTGTTTAAAATTGTCCACAAGAAGATTAACACATTTACTTGTCTATATATGTCTTAATGCTGCAAGTTGTTTGTCTTTTAAAACTAAATCATGTTGTATTTATCGGCAATGCATTTTAAGTTTTCCACGTTTGTAATATCCTGCCGAGAAATAATCCTCTATGATATGTGAAAAAGCAATCTGTAATTCTCAAAATTAACTTTTATTTAACATGTTAAAGTAGGATAGAAGTTTTACATATAATTTATGCAATGATGTACTATATGACCTTTGGGAAGGGGGATACATGTTTTGTAGAAAAAGGTGAAAACAAGTAAAATTAGTTATAAATTCCTTTCTGAAAATTATCACTTCTAGGTGAGAAGATAAATAGAGAAATTAAAAGATATGTTTTAAAAATTATGTTTTTCTGTTTGTTTGTTGGTAAATTCAAAATTTATGTAGATATGATTAATTTAGCAGATGTACTGTTGTTCTAATAGGATAGATACACCCTGTAGAAATATTATCAAAAATAATTCAATACTACATTGAAGAAAAAAATCAAAATTAACATTGGTAAGCTAGAGATATCACTTAATTAAACACTCTTCTTATAACCAGAGTCACTCAAGCATAAAATGTAGGTCAAATACAGCATCCATTGAGCATTCAGTTGTCAAACAAAGATTCTACATGCATTGTATACAATATAAGCAGAATATTTTATTAAATATTCAATATTGGCATTATTAGCAAGGATGTTGAGATTATTAAAATTGCATATCACTATCAATTCATGAAGCACTATTATTAAGGAAATTGAATACCATTTTAGGTTGGACTGAATACCATTTGAAATTGGCTTAGATGCCATTTTAGATTGGTTTGAATACCATTTTACATTGGTTTAGATACTATTTGAGATAAATTAATCTCTAAATGCTAGATGTGTAGGTAATAAAAAAGTTATATGGGACTACACTTTTTCCTGTTACCTACTATTTCATAATTGAGCATGACTTGGCACTTTTTTTTTGAAGTCAGTAGGTGACAATTTATAGAAGAATTCATGTTATTCATATTCATCCAAATACTGGAGTAATTGTTGTCACATAAACCCCTTTTATAATAGATTCAAATTTGATGGGGCCACAGAATTTCATAAAATGTCCTAATAGGCATATTAAATTCATCAGAGTGGAACTTCATCTTTTCTACAGGTTTTTAGGTCATTCACCTTAACACTAGTTAACAGAGAGAGGTACATACTTTGTAACATCAAAAACAATAATTTTACTGGATGGTATAAGATAAAGAATTGTCTTTTAGTGTCAATGTTTTTTTTTCTTGAACTCTTGTATTGAGCACTTAGCATTGTCTGTTTGTCTATTTACCCGTTTGTCTGCAAAATCTTGCCCATAACTTTTGATTGGTCGGGGGCTATGGCATTCAGATTTCCCTGTGTTTTTCCTTGTGACAAGGCCTCTCTTTGGGTACCAACATGTTTTAGGTCTTGACCTTGACCTTTGAGTTTGACCCACTCTTGCAATAATTTACCAAACTTTAATTAACCTTAGCTGTAACTTATGAGCAGTTAGTGCTAGCTAGGGCTTTTATGCTTCACATGAATATATATCCATACATGTTAACTCTCCCGATTTAGGCGGGAGTCTACCGCTTTTTCACTCCATCTCCCGCCTACCGATTTAATTCAGAAATCTACCGCTTTTCTACAAAAGCTGCGTCTAAAGTATTTTTGGTTCGCTTGGGTATCCATTTTTGAAGCCACTCTCATAAAATCTCGCTAGATATCGCGTGATTTGACTCAGAATCATGTAAACGCTTTTTTTGCACATAGATTTCAAGCACGGATTTGACAACAACAACAACATAAGACTACCAGTGATTACATTGGTTACGATAAATTAATCAACATCCCTGCCATGAAAAACGAGATACAGCTTTTGAGAATTAGATGAAAACATTTGACATCGTCTTTAAAAGCACAGAAGCTCACAACTTTATCAAAAAAGTCAATAGAAATCACTCGATTAACCAAGCCATGTGGCACATCTCTACTTTCGTTTTCGATCATCGCGGGAAATCTGATTTATATAACGAAAGATACGAACTTGTTTTAGATCTCGATTAAACCATGCCATCATTTGTTTTGTTTAAAAACTGAATGAACATTCAGAATTATTGCTTCTAGGCTATTTCAGCAAAGTTGAAATCTTTGCCAAAGATCACTCTTCAAAAGGCTAAGTAAAGCAGCCAATCCAAGCAAAATGATGAGCATGAACAATATTTGAATTTGTACAATTTATGTCAAACTTAAGGTGTTTCTGTCTTCTTATTGCTGTTGATAATTAAGATTAATTAGTGTAGGTGCCTGATTTCATTTAAGGCTTATAATATACATGTATATTACATGAAAGATATCGATAATCAAAGCGTTAAACAACACGCGCGCAATGCTACCGCTTTTGAGGTCTGAATCTCCCTCTTTTTCATCACAATAGGTTAACATGTATGATATATCTTTCAGTGGGTATAGATTTGTAATACATTTGACCTTGAACTTTGAGTTTAACCCACTTTTAAAAAAATATTAACCTTAGCAATAACTTATGAAAAAAAAGTACCAGGACCTAAATTCATATTTCACAAAAGTCTTCCTTATGACAAGGGCTATACCTTTGATACCAATAATTTTGACCTTTTCTTGTTGGCCTTGGCGTTTGACCTTCTTCTGAATGACTTAAACCTTGGCCATAACTTTTGAACAGTTGGTGCTAGGTCTTTGATATTTCACTTGTGTATTTTTTATGACAAGGCCCCCCTTTGGTACTTCTAATTTGAACTTTTGACCTTGACTTTGTACTTTGATCACATTAAAAAAACATAAGTCTTTGTCATAACTTTTGAATGGCCAGTTCTTGCTTATGGGCTTTCATATTTCACAATTTAGTATGTATATTCATTTAGAAAAGTCATTTTTTGGAGGGGGCAACATTTTTTTGTTATCTCTTGACCTTCGAGTTTGAATTGCATTTGAAAAATCATTGCCAACAGCTATCATCACTCTTTCACAAACTTGTTTCACCATGGGAATGTACACTGTACATGTATTATGTTTTATTTCATTAACTCACTCAAATTTTAGGCTCAATTGAACTCTCTAGAATCACTAGGTCATTATTAACCAGATTTTGCACAAAGCATCCTTTTAACAGGGTATCCAAACATTTTATCTTTTGAAACTGCTTCACTTTCTTGAGGAAATATCCTGGATTTATGATTTTTTTGTTGTTGTTGTAGTGTTGCATTGCTTTTATCCTTTTAATGGTTGATGACACTAAACTGCCTTGTATGGATAAAATAAATAGCTTGTATGGATATAAAATATGAAGTGCAGAACTACACCCAAAAGACACATATATATTTATTGATTTTCTTCATTTAAAAATTTACCAATATTCAAACCTATTTTTTCTTCTAATATTTGACAGTCTCTTGTGCTGTCTAAGGGAACTTGGTAAAAATATTAAATTTGCTGTTTAATTAAGGATGCTCTTCTAAAGCTTGAAATACTTATGTACAACAACTGCACCAGTGAAGTCTTCTTAGGTAGTATTACATACCGCATTAAACTTCTTAAGGGGTTTATGCCCTTAAATTTCTTCCACTGCTGAATCATCCTCCCACCTTTAAAAAATGAAGACATAATTCATTCATCCTTTCCTTTTATAGACCTTACCCTACAGTGAGTTAGTGAACTCAATTCCTAAAAAAATAAACAAGGATAAATAGTTGTTATGATGGCTAAGATAGAAAAAACAAGCTGGGGCCAGATAATAAAGATTTATGTGTAATAAGACAAATTGATCCATTGGGCTTGTAATTCCATCGCACTGTTTGACTTTTTTCAGCTGTGCTTTACATTTCGTAGTCTGAGTGCACATGTAATACAATCAAGATGCTTGGTTTTGTTCATACCTGCTAGAGAAAGGTATATTTTCTATATGAGATGTTAACTGCATGCTGGTGCATTCATTTAACAACAGGTATGTTTCATATTTTAAGGTTAATGAAATAAATTGATTATTCATGAAGCTATAATACAAAGTGTACTGGTAACTAGAAATCAACATTACCATTATCAATGAATTAAAAATCTTATAGTTTTTTATAGTGAATAGTTCAGAGAGGCGGTATACTGTACAGCTTCAGAGAAAATTGGGAATCATTATATACAGTTAGAATTTAATCTCAGAGTGTACATGAAACATTACATTTAGCAATTTTTTTGTAAATTCAAATCTTGATTTTTGACAAATCACTTAGCTTTGCTATAATAGCCAAAGGTTTATGGTCTGCTCTTCTCCTTTAGATTGGTACAGATTGTCAACCCGTTGCTAACATTAGTGAAGATGCAAATTCGTAAAATGCAAGGTTCACTTTTCGTTTAACATGTTTCTGTCTATATAGGTCTTATAATGCACACCAGGTAATGAATTGTTACTCAATGTTTCAATCAGCTTTTTTACATATAAGAATATATATTTTATCATTACCTTTCAAATGTTTTGCACCAGTACTTGGTCATTGTAACCAATTTTGTGTACAATATGGAAAACTACCTCAGGAATTTCTATACATATATGTATATCAAGTTAATCAAGGTCATAGCAAACTTCAGGGGAAGGCAAGCAGAAATTAATGGATGTTTTAAAATGGAAATGTTTAGGACCACCAAGGTAATTAGATAATAAGCTCAGGTAGCAATGAAGGAATTCCATTTTATGTATATTTTATAGGAAGCTGATTTCCATTCTAATACCTTAATAAAGTTAACACATAAAGCAAAGGTCACAATTCACTGTAGTGTATGCTTTGAAAATAATTTTTATGCCCCCTTCGAAGAAGGGAGGGCATATTGCTTTGCTGCTGTCTGGTCTGTCGGTCCACTTAGTTTCCGTTCATTTTCTTTGCAACCGTTGCACATACTGAAATTAAATTTGGTATACGGATAAATCAGATAGATATCTAGGTCAAGTTCTGTTTTAAAGTCTGCTCACCACAACTGCACGGACTGACAATATACTGTGTGTATGTTTTGCTTTCGAACATTTCTACTCTGAATTTTCTGGATTTTAGTTTTAATATTTTTCCGTATACACAACAAGATTTCCACTTTTCTTAATTATTGAAATTAAAAGTAAAATTTGTGAAAGTGCAAGGACTTTGTGTCAATCAAACCCATCTAAAAATTTTAAGTTTTAATAACTTTTAGATGAGATAAAATTTTTAATATATTTTTTTGTGAAATGCTATTAAAATATATAATTCGTAATATTATACAGAAAATATTAACTTCAAATCTGTGTCCATGCACCTTTAAACTCCTGAAAAACAACCAATTGCAAATTGATCAAACTTTCACAAAATCTGTATTTCATATTGGGATTGTGCATCTTAATTTTTACAGAACCTTTATTACAAAGTGCCAATGATGACCTCATATTTTCTGTTTAGATCATACCGATATTTGTTTCCAACAGAATAAGCATCAATCTGAGAGTATTGCATTAGCAATACATGTACTAGTCCCCTACCGGCAATGGTAATTGGTACCAGTTTCACCAGTAGGGGACTGAAAATATGGACTTTGCAATTCTCAAGATCGGTACACTCTGGGATAGCCATCAATGGGGGTACCCATTCTCTTGTTCAAACTTCTTTCATAACCAAATTTTATTTATACATTATCATATTACCGTGATTTGACTATACTGCAACAAAAAGTGAGGGTGGGGGGATGCCTTTCAATGAACATTTTCAATAGTAGGTGTAATGTTTGGAAATAAAATGCCCTCCAATCACACTATTATAAAGTCTATTCTTATCTCCAGCCATCCCAGTCAGTAAGTATTGGTCCCATTGTGACACTCTAGATTACCGGTAGTTGATTTTCAATTAAATAACCGTAATAATTGCTAATATAGAGAAAGATTCAAGTTACACAAAAAAGGTTTTCTGAACCAGTTGAGCTACAGTCCCATAAGAGACTTCATCGGATTATGTCATATGCATTGAGTGCTAACATGAAAACTGTTATCCTAGCTATTATATTTGTTCATTGTTTTAATTAAACAAAATATATTAATCTGAATGAATCATAGAAACATATGTAGACTTCCTTCCTGTACCTAGAATGATGTAATTTTTTAATTATCTCTGATGTATTTTGCAGCTTTGAGTAGTGTGACAAAGCATGAACAAATTTCAAACAAGTTTAAGATACAAACTGCTGGATGGGAAGAAAATCACATGCTGAGGTTACTTAATGCAGTTTTGAAGCAAAGCACAATCTTGTGAAAAAAAAAATCATTGATTTCTTTGTTTCTACCATTTAAAAATCAATCTAGCTCTGATTAATTACATAATTCCGGTAGGTGAGCATTAGTAATAACGTTACTGTGTTCCTGGATCGCTATTGATACAAGGCGACTGCTCCACACGACTTCTCCCATCCCGCAGATCTTCAAAACTGACTGGATAGCACTTTATCAGATTGATTTTTGTTACTTTTCTTTGGACGGGGGGCAAAAAAAATCTATCGAGAGTCCAGACGCCCACTTTCAAGTGTATTGACAATAAAGGATGATGATTTAAGAGTGAGGGGTCTTAAAGAAAAAACAAACTATGGCTTAATGTTTCTTGACATGAATTGAATGTCACACACATTCTTGGAGAATGTGTTTTAGCTGTGTGGTGTTACTTATTGGTACCTTTATCATTTATTCATACCAATTAATGCTTAATTTCATTACCTGCAGATGAAATTAACTTAATGAAAATTATATCTTTCTTGATAGATTTTGGAAAACAAAATTTGTGGCATTTTTGGTGATGGAGCTTTTAGGTTTTTTTTAAGTTCCAAAGCAGGGTACTCAAAAAATTTTGTTTTGATAGAATATTGACTCAATAATGATTTTATCTGTGAAAACATATGTTGTCAACATTTTGCATCATCCCATCTTTGCAGGGAAATAATAATTGGGAAAAAAAAGGAAACCCATGCAATCTTATCCAGATAAATACAGAAAAAAAGATTTCTTAATAAATTCATATTATGTTGTTTATACATTATAAAGTACTGTTAGAAACAGTCAGAGATGAAGGTCACTATGAATTATTTAGTATAGTGATAGTTTATTTTTATCAATAATTTCACAAGATCTTGGAAAGAGGATAGCCTGTCTCAGAGACAAGGTGAGCAAAAGGTAAACTTTTATGATCAGCAAAGTGCTAAAAAATTTTTTCATGTTTTTTAGGCATTGGGGGATATATTTGTTGTAGGTAGAAATAAAAGGGAAGCTTATGGAGTATTTACCATCTTGTTAAGTTCAACTGCCTGCCAAAGCTACGGATGCAGGCACGCGCAACTCCAATCATTTGTGAAAGATAAAAGCTGTTTTTCAAAGAAATGGGTGATGATTAGGATTTTTTCACTATGGGAAGTGATTTTAAATGCTAATTCCATTTTTTTTAAAGAAGAGAATTATACAACCAAGTGTAAAGATATTAATATACAAGTATTGTGAGGGAGCAATTTTTCTATCACGATTTGTGAGCTGCAAAAAGGAATCAGGTTATAATTTGAAAAGGTTAGTTTTACAGTTAGGTATATAGTTTTGAAGAATCTTGTTTAATATTAATAATTTGAGGCTAAATGTTAACAGATTTAAGTAAATTATTTTCTTGTTTTTTAAATTTTAAACTTTTAGGATAATGACAGTGTACAATTTTGAACCTATAGCTGGCTTAATAAGTACTAGTTATCAAACAGCAAAATATACAATAAATGAAGACTTTTTTAAATTTAGTTTTTAATTTTGTAAAATGAATTTATAAGACAAAATCAGATTATTTTTTATGTCTTTTAGCCTAGTTAAAATCCTTGAAAATGCCAGACATAGTGAGTTGTGATGGGTGGTCGTATTGGACAGAAAAAGATTTTTTTTCTTTGAAGTTCTTGGTTTTCTTTCTACGAATCATCTGGAATTCAGGCTTTCCTAACAAATTTCTTTTCAATGTCAGGTTCAATTTGTGATTCTTTTTTTTTTTTTACTTCTCTTAAAAAAAATTGAATCTCAAGTGAGGGGGCATTTCATTTTGCTCACTATATATATAATACCCTTATTAAATAGGAATTCTGTTCTTTTTCTATGGGGGTATATGAATCCACTTACTGGTACATGATTTCAGTCTTAATTAATTAATTCTGATGATGAAAGGTTCTGAGCTGTGTACTCTGTTTACCTAGTGCTGCTTTTGTCTGTCTGGCGGGAGTGAGTCATGAAAAACATCATAGGCAAGGAAAAAAATAAGAAAGAAATCTGTCTGAGCCATCAGAGATCTCCAACACAAGAAATGAATTTGTTTTGGAATTCTTGATTGATAAGGGTTCCAGATCGCAGAGGTTTGTTGTTTTGATCCTAACTGCCATACCTGCTTTGTAGAGAAATTGGTGTGTTGAAAGATAGATAGATTTCTTGCAGAAGACCATATCTAAACTTGCTGCCCAGGATTCAGAATGAATGTGTCATCTGATATATTGCTATGTACATTTATTTACCTAGAAGTTGCTGACACTTTCTCTTGCTGGGTCTAAGATTGCATCTCAGGTTGCATGTAGATTTGCCATTTATTTAAAAAGAACTGTGACATGGCGGCATTAATGATTCCTTCATGGATAATGGAAGTTTAATGGTTCCAGGGAACACCATTCCCAAGTATTTCACTGATGATTGTTCCTTTGTCTTTGTATGTTAATTTTAAAAGCAGGAGATTCTGCGTTCTCATAACCTGTTAGCAGATTAAAAAAATAAATTATCATTAGAATGCCCAATTGTAGGTGATTAAAATCAAATACATGTATCATTCTTCATATTTGTCTTCATATGGCTTTCGTCTTGCATTTCGAGACTTGACTAATGTGATATTATAGTAAAATGTAAAGTTTTATCAAAACATAGAAA